TTCGCCTCTTTCCCTCATACATATTTTAAAACGATTGCTTTCAAACTAATACTGTGATTTTAATCAAATCATCGAAGAGAAAACTGATACTTCTATTTAAGCCCAGAGGTAAAAAAAAAAAAAAGGACGAATTAGTTAATGAACATCTTAAATCCCGGAAGTGATGAACATTTCACTTCCCCTCAAAAGATCAAGCATCGCAAAGGTAGATCTAAAAAGTTTTTGATAGGGGGGAGACGAACGTTTGATTCATAGGACACATAAGTAAATATATATTATATTCTTCACATTGTGCGGTAACATGCGATCTTATCCTTACGAGAATTTAGGTGTCGCACAATCAATAAAAGACCTTACAAGTCTGATGGGATGGGTGGGTCTAGAACTCCTCTGAACCCTGCCCTTGGACTCCTCCCCCCTCAATTGAGCTAACCGCTCCCCGGTTGGCTCAATTGGTTAGAGCGCCGGATTGTGTTTTGCGGGAGGTCGAGGGTTCGTGCCCCGGCCGGACCAATACTCATGGTCTTAAAATAACTGAGGAGAATTTGCTACCTTTGTATAATATCAAGCAGAATGGATAGATATTCTAGTCTTCTCGGATAAGGACGAATAAACCGTAGGCCCCGTCTCCTGCAGGGTTAGGGGTAGGAGACGTTAATTTCCCACGCATGAGATTACTGTGTGGTGGATGTCCTCCCCTGAGGTGGGATGGGTGGGTTTACTGGGCCCGCAGTAATTGGCGCGAGCTGTTGCGGGGTCCCTGCCTGTCGGCGAATCTAATAAATGAAATCAATACATTATCCAGCAAGTAGATTGTGAGAATGAATAACCTTAACTCTTAAGCTTTGATACGTGACCCTTTTAGATGACATGTCGTATGACTTTTTTAAGAGATCTGTCAATTATCTCTTACAACGGGAAAAAGCGGACAAAGAATCCTAAGTTATGCCCTCCCTAGGGCGTCGAGAGGTCGCCGAACGAAAAAAACGTTAGCTATGCGCGTGAAGGACGCGTTGTATGTACACTGTCTCCACGCACTTTGACTTCCCCTTCAGTTTCATGTGTGAAATAAAAATAAGGATGTCCACGACCCTATATTTTGTAAAGTACACGCAATCATTACGTCATGTAGCATGTGCTAAATGAGCTTAAAAGCTGTTATCGTTATTATTATTACCCCGTGCGCATGTTACGCAAAATGTTTGGTTTTGTCATTATCCGAGCAGGTGAGATCCACATACACGGAAAACTTTCATGTTGGTGTTTGCCTGGTCTTGTTCGAACGAAACAGTCTAGATAAAATTTGAAAACTCGGGAAGCTAAGTCGAAAATTTTTAAAACTCTTCTAGTTCTCCAGCGAGTACCAACGCAAACGCGATGTAATTTCTAGCATTATTGAAGGAGAATTATTGAGGAACTGAAAAAGTTTTATGAGAACTTTCCTTATGTTGGCGTAATTCAAGTCATCGAATTTGTCAGCCTCACATTTGCACATAAGTTAACAAACCGGTAATGGTGTGGTTGACTTACAGATCTATCACAAACCTCTGAACTTTATCCTAGCGAGTTGACGTGTATCTTAACGCGTTAACATCATCAGAATTACACTGTTAAAATAGCCAATACGAGATCAGAGTCAAAGACACACATCTGGTGAAGTAAAATTTTGTGACAAATGACTTTTAAGAAAAAATCTACCAAAGAAAATTGTAGAGATATCTTTTTTTCTAATGGTTTTCTATACTCTCAACCAATTAGAGCATCAAAAATGCTGATGAATCTAGAGTAATCCCTTTTTCCACTCTTGACGCCCGCCTCTTTCCTTGATTGCTTCGTTGTAGTGCTTATGTGTGCTCTGATAGGCTGTCGTGTTGATTGACAACCGCTTTTAGCCTTAAAAGGACAGGTGCAAGAGCCTAAGGTGAGAAACTAATCTGCAAAATCCTTTTCCAGTTACTGAAGAAGAACTAGTGACAAACGAAAAAAGAAAAAAAGCTACGTCATACGTGATGCTGTGATATAGACCGCTGTGAACCAGTCAAATTATGGGAATTTCGTTCAAAATTCAGATAAAACAGTATTTCCAACAAAGAATGTAAGTTCGTAGAAGAAAAATAATACACTCAGCCGAGGTAGCTGATACATTTATTTTCTTAGAAGCATTCGTTAACCCTTTTTCCGCCTTACAACCATACGCCCTCACGCACTTTGAAGAAGTTGCTGATTTCAACACATAGATATGCAGATATTCTGAAAACTTGATAGAATTTTGGGAAGCAAAAATGAACAGTGTTCGCTAAGATCAAGGGGATTGCTCCTGAAAGCAAAGCATCTTGTCTGAAACCGAATACAATCTACGATCACATGTATTCATTAAAGTTTGTTTAGTTCTTCTAGTTCTTCCGGCCTTACAGACAATTGCTCCCACCTCAGCTCACGGCAAGTCGATTTTGTCAATTCACTGAAGGAAGTAATATTTCAACAAAATAATCCATCTTTGAGTTTTTAGTAAGTCACTACCAAACATAATTTTAACTTTTACTCTGGCTTCTCTGACACCTGGTCAACTGTAGTGTTTCTAAGCTGAACAATAAGCAAACGAAACTTAAAAAGCTCCTTTTGCTTTTGTTTTTTTTTTTTTTCTATGCGCTTCTTTAACCGTTAATCGAAAAACACGGATGTTTACCAATACTTGGACGAAGAAATGGGTCGAAAATAACTATTTAATGAGAAATATTTCTAAGTCTTATGTGTAGTCATAGCGACAGCGCCAGCGCCATTTAAAAAATGACAGACGTTCTCAATGTAACTTTAAATCATCATTTAAATGTTAAAGTAACACCACGTTTCTCTTTGGTACTGACAGCTTGAAATGATATGCCTTTAGAACCCCTTCAATTCAGCCAGCTATAGAAATTTCGTAATGTGTTGCAAAATGGAATTTGTAATTTATATTAACGTAATAACCCACATTAGTTTAAGAGCGCCATCTGCTCAAAGTATTCTAATCATTGCAAAAATAAAATAAATTGAACCACGATGAATATTAATTTTTGCCACAAATTTAATTTTGGGCAGCATAAAAGCTGTAAATTTCTTCAACGCTGTTTTGGATTTCTTTTTCATTACATTTTCGACCAAAAGAGATAAAACAATTGAAAAGTCAAATATAAACATTTTATTGGGAAATGTGTTCAGGTCCTTGAAATGTCATCAGTTTTGCTTTGAAACGTATTTTCCGCTTATTATTTAAACACCTTTGAGAAGAAACCTTAAATATCTGGCAGAAAAACCTTTATAGGTTCTATGTATAACTCAGTTTGTCGCTTGATAGTTTGCGACTGAAAAGACCTCTTTTGTTAAAGTTATGAAATCTTTCTTCGTCATTTTAAATTTCTATGACAACATGATTGGCAGTTCAACTAGAGCCACTTGTATGGATTCGCACTTTGTGTGAAGCACGGTATGTTTGAGTCAGGGGTACGGGCTTGTTTGTTCAGTCGCCCTTACGGAATATACTCAGCTGCCTCGCTACTCTTTAGGGGCTAAAATGGTATTGATTATAAAACACTCGTGTTTTAGAATGACTTTCAAATCGTCGCGATGCAAATTTGCCAGAAACGCGGGGGTTGGCATGACAAAAGGACATCGCCAAGCGACGTTCTGTCTGTTAGAGATATAGAACCCCTTGGGTAAAAGATACCCGAGATGAAATGTGTTGCCTAGAGACTACATTTCAACGTGAAAGACGCGTTTCGCAGGAAACTAGCTCAGCAAAGGGTATTCATCACAACTTGAAGGAAAACACCACGTCTCATGGTAACACTTTGACATCTTGTCCTAATTATGAATGACTAAGGATCAAAAGGGACAAAATTCATAATGGGGTAAAATCAAACAAAACCAACCAGTATAAAACAGTAGAATTAAAGTGAGAAACTTGCAAGTTACTTGTGCTGTGTACATCGTTAGATTTATGGGTCGTAGTTTAGGGAAACAAGAGATAAAGTTTAATTTTTTTGTGTTTGTGCGTGAGATGGACTTTCATTCGCAAAGACGAAAACCTGGTCCATTAGAACTGTTCGTCTGAGTTTTGTCGCGTGCACGATTAATCGGAATCATCTTTGGCGTATCGCATGTCCGGTCTTAAACAGAAACCCTCTCTCATGACGATCGAAATTGTTCATTTAGAACGGCTGATCACGAAGGGAGATTTCGGTGAAATCATTCCATATTCAGTAAAACGAAATGTGGCGTTAGGCTAGAATTCCTGGTGATGTAATTTGTCAAAACGCGGCAAATTAAGCCGCTTTCCTGGGACTTAAATTACGCTTAATGGTTAGCCGTACTGAAGTGCCTAACAAGCTGCAGAAATCCATATTACTTATTCATGAAGGGATTTGAAAACAACCCGAGGTTTACATTGCCCGTGAAATCAGTTTGCAATCACATGTTTTCACCGACAACCTAGAAAAATATTTTAGTCTATGCTTCTTCTACTTTTAAAGAGAGCTTGTAAAAATAGTGTCTATTGATTTACATTAGATAACGAAAATTTGACTTGTTCGAAGTAAAACTGATATTCTGATAGAAAATATGGACTAGCATCTTGTACCGATTGTGATAAAAATCTCATGAACATTTCCCTTACAACTTGAACGAGAATTCATTTCAGATTTCAGATGTCAAAAGTAAATCGCGTGGGGGTTAAGTGCAAAATTTAGTTCGGTTCTTTTTTCCGAAACTTTTGATTGTACATCGTACCATTAACACAGTGTTTCAAAACACTGTATTATTCACATTTGGCGAAATTGTATGTCCCAAATGAAAAGTTGTACCTCTTCGAAAGACGACGCTTCCCAATATTGAACAGAGAAACTAATACCCTCTTCTCGAGCGTTTAAATATTGCAAGTCATGGTATAAAAATAAAAACAAGAACGCTTCCGTCAAGCTCGAGGCATGAAACGAAGAAGAAAAAAAACAAAATTATGAACTCACATGATCGCCTCTGTGTAGGATAAAGCTTCGAAATGTCGCTCTCAAGCATAGTAGGCAGTTTTGGAACACGAATCAAATGAAGCTGTTGTGTTTTTGGTAGCATTCGTCGTTTAAAACAGCGAGGTTTCGTTCATAGTCTACGTTCGTCTCTGGTGTTTACAAGGTGGTCACAGCTACATCAGCCGCGACGCAAGTGTACGACATCAAAACCAACTCACGGTCACAGTATCTTGCAGGTGTTCGGTGGAATAAATGCATTCACAAAAACTCATATTTGTTTACATGTGGCGGGCGGGCGGGCAAACATCCACTATTTCGTCGTCTTGATTGTTAAATTCAACATGCGATTAGCCGCTTGTGAAAAGTGAAGTGATCACGTGATCACTAGCAGGTGCTCAACCCGGGGAAAAAATGCAAAAAATACGCGAAACGAATCAATCCATCACAAATTCGCATTTTCATTCTTAATTACGTTGACAGATCAAGCGAGATCTAATGTCATTTAAAAACATTGTAATTTTTTTTTTTGTCTGTAATAATCGTTCGAGACAAATTAGAGCTTTCTCGGTTTAGCTAAGTGACCTCAACAACTTGAGTATGAGAAAGCAAAAGCAACAAAAATTTTCGGACAAAATAAGGCGTTATCTTTCAAACTTAGTGATTCGTAAAACACGCGAATATTGCGCTTGATAGTGATAATTGTAACTTTCAACATCAATCAATATTCTGAGGTATGATTAATGAAGTTTCGAGGCAGGTGCAGCTATTGGGCTTCTCAGCTGACGTTACTTGAGAGGAACAAAAAAGCCCTTTGGCGGACCAAAAAAAAATTGGCAGGTGACACTATGGGCAATTGCACAACAAACGAATAAAACCTAAGGTTAAAAAAACAACCACGATTCACTTTTCTCGCGAATGAAGCATTTTTTAACTATGTTTTCTCATCGTATCTTTTCCTTTAAAACCTACTCTTTTTGACGGGTCGAAAACAATAAAGATGGTTGAACTGAATTGCAGGATTTCCAGCACGTTCTCGCCGATTTTGGCGCTGTTTATCTTAATTGCGTGGAATATTTATGATGGGTTTTTCTTCTGGAAGACGGCTGATGACATCTGAGTAATTGCTCTTTTTTCAACTCAGTTGGGAGCCGAAAGTCAATTTCCTACCCTGTACTTCGGCTGGGATTTTAAGCGTCCAAAAGACAGTGAAAGTAGCGCGTCATTGTCATAAAACGTTTAAATCGCGTGGTAGCAAAGTTACGGGGGCTTTCTGCAGCGCGTTAAAAGAATGACAAATATGAAAACGCTGTGAATTCATATATTTTGAGGAACACTTTTCTACGTGTAATTACAGTACAGGAAAACACAAGTAAAACAAATTGCGATTTCCTCAATGTATTGTTTGCAATTGGATCTGAACATATTTCAATTTAGCCTATGGAACCAACGCTTTTTTCCTTCAATAAGAAATAGATTTACCACTTCAACGGAAGGATTTGAGTTTGACAAAATCCTATAAATTAGACGCGATTCTCAATTTTGATCCGAATTTTAATCGAAAGGAAAAGCCCCAACTGCACTTTTGCAAGGAAAATAACAAGATAAAAGGCCTTTTTCAAAGTTAACAATTATTATCACATCAAAACGAACCTGAGTAAAATCGAGAAAGAAATGAATACGCTTTGATCAAGAAATGAATGCCGCTTGGAAAAGTACAGGTGAAACTGATTTTAAGCCAAAATAAACATTACGTTTGAACAGCGTAAATAATGAAAATATTAGAGAAATGCTGAACTCTGAATGGAATACATCTTACTTTCACTTTAATAGACATAGCGAGTCAGCTTCTGATTTTCTTCTTCTTACACCTTCGACAAAGTTATATACTTTTTTCGTGGATGAAATGGACTTGTAATATTGGCAAATTTCACGGAAGTACTTGATTTTTAATTGCTTTAGGTTCTCTCTATGCTCTGGCCTTGAATGATTAGAAATTAACACAAAATTATGCCTAACAACCTATAAATCGAGAAGTCCTGCTTTTTCAGTAATTTGCTTTGGAAAAAATACGATCTTTAAATGCAAAAGGAATAACTGTGCAGACGAAATAGGAATTGTCAAAGAGGGATTTTGACAATGGAGGTAGAAACATCAATCATACATTGAGAATTTTTTTCTTTGGGTAGCAAAGGTCTCTTCAATTAACTTTTCCTTTTTTTCTTAAAATAGCGCATCAGTTGGAGTAGTTCTGACAAATGAATCCGGAATTAATCTGATGAATGGGCACAACATATTAAAAGGTGAAAAAAACATGTTTACTTCGCCTTTTTTTTTTTTTTAACTGGAAAGAGGCTTTGTAACTGATCGACTGAATTTCATTGAACACATTTGATAGTTTGTTGAAATCAGCCAAAAATGTAAGAAAAATAAAGATTGATCAGATAAGAAGTTTCCACTATTATGATAGGTAAGAATTTACAATTAGGTTATGGACAATAACGTTAAATTTCATACACGCATTCACAGTCTTTGCTACAATTTGACCAGTTTTCGAATGGGAGCAGTAAAAGTGTTTGCTGATAAGATGTTTGCGTTTGTATGTACAGGTCTTTGAAGCAACATGTGTGAATTTTCAACGAATGCCTTTTGTAAAAAATCTCCTTCAGGAGTTTCCTTACATATTTAACTTCGCTGGCGACAAAATGACTCAGTGTTGAGTGCTTTAAATCATAGTTACGCTTCGATATTATGCCGGCAATTTTTACGGAAGAAAATTTCGTTTGCACAAACAATTACCCCCTTGTGTCGGAGAGGGGGATCTACCGAGAGTTTCCTCCCTGGTGTACCAGGGGTAGCCGCATCTCGAAATCGGTTCACTTGAAATTGAATGCGCGGAATCTAACCTGCGCTAAAATCAAATAAATGTTTCATCGTTTCTCATTACAACACAAAAGACCTTTATCTGTAGTAGCGGCTGAAAACTACCTGAAAATTACTAGATAGAGCACTTTTTGATCAAAGCAAATAAATCACGACGGCTAATCGGAACAGAGTAAGTATTGTATGAAGGCCCTGTGTTACGAAAAATAGTGTTGTGTGACATGCATGACCTTCTGGAAGCTCCGCGAAAAGTGATGGCCTGTTTATTTTAGTATATTATGTAATCGTTTCTAAAAGCGGTATATTTTGTAATGTTGCAGTGATTAGACCTTTTTTAGAAAGTTCTAGAATTTTATCGCGTAAGTATATAAGTAGGATAGGTTAAGCTAAGCTTTAATTAAGTTTTTACAAGCAAAGAGAGTTGGTCGTGATCAGTCGAGATCAGTGAAGTGTGACGAGGCAGTGTTTGTTGAATTTGGCGGAGGCCGTAAGTACTTTCAAGTTTATTGAATTTGGCGGAGGCCGTGTGTATTTTTCAAGTTGTTTGACGTTGGCGGAGGCCGTATGTATTTTTTTAAGTTGGTCGAAGTTGGCGGAGGCCGTGTAAGTTTACCAAGTTACGTACTAGTGTAAGGTTTATCAAGCTAGTGGAAACTACGTTCATTTTGGAATAAATCTCCTTGTTGCTGTTCCAACAACCCTGCGTTCTGCTTAGACTGCAAATCACCTGCCACTCAACCATGGAACTCGTAACACCCTGAGAACTCAAATTGTCTAAAGCGTCGGAAAACGCCAGCGAGGAAGTCGCGGTTAGTTTTGCATCTGATTAGCTCGGACAGCCTGAGGTGTGAGATTCCTAGACCAATCACAGAGCAAAGTAAAACAAACTGAGCGAAAAGGGCTGGGGGAGGGGGAGCTTCAACCCTTTCCATCACAAAAGCGCTATTGAGCTATAAATATCTGAAAGATTTTCTTTTAGTTTTTTTATTGCGTACTACGCTAGTCGTTGGCGGTGTTAATCCACAATCTAAGAGTTTTTCACAAATCATAATTTGTTTAAAACCTGGCTGAAAATGTAAAGGATCACGTCAAAAATCGAGAGGGTCTGGAGAGGGTTGACAATCTTAGATATGAGGGGGGGGGGAAAGGTCAGGGAGAGAAAAAAATCATGTGTGAATTTTCAACTTCAGTAGAAATAAAGGCACACTCAAGAGAGAATCCTACGCCTATTTTCACTTGAATATTGCACTAAAGAATCGACAACAGCAGTGTGATTTTATGCCCCTGACCCCCCTGAATGCTTTAATTTAGTGAACGCGATCGCTCGGCTTTCGATTGCAAAAATAAGAGACTTAAAGCTTGTCAAGAAAATTGAAAAGCCAAATAAACCGTGGGAAATTATGTATGCAGAACAAGAAGGAAGAAGAAGGAAAACTTTTAAAGGAAAGTTATTAAAAATAGGGTTCTCACTACTCGTACAGGCTGTAAACCACGATCAATTGTCCGCTTTAGTTCAGAAAGTGCTTTGTCTACAATTCTAGTTTACACATTGCCAACATATACGTCGACCACTTTGACAAATTTTCGGTCACATGGAGACATCTACTATGACAAGTTATTTTCCCGACGACTCTTCAATTTTCAGTGCTCTTGCCTTGAAGAACGAAGGGCTAATTTATATCTGCATCTAAGTATCAAAACAATATTACTACTGCTATAATTTGACTGCGAAAATGGATCGAAGCTTCCTGATACAGTTACATTGTGTTCTCTAAAAAAACACTTGAAAAAAATCAAATCACTAAGGATGGGGCAAAAAAAAGAAAAAGTAAACAACTTCTCATGACAGTGGGGACTTTAAGAAACCACGACGGCGACGCCAAGGAAGACTTCGATTAAAAAATGAATTTCTACTCTTAGTTAGAATTTTAAAAAATGGCTGCAAGAGCTTACTGTCTCATACAGCGCCACAGCTCAGCTTCAGCATGACGTATAAAGTAGCCTTTGAGTTCCAAATGGAAATTAAAATAATTTGCCGTCGCGGTTTCAATAGAGTGAAAATAAAAGGAGTGACAAGTGACTGGAAAAGGATGGTGCTTGGCTGCCCGCAAGGCTCGGTGTCTTTTGGCCCCCTTCTGTGGAATTTGTTCCAAAATGACATGTCATTCCATATAAATAATGCTAATTTGAGCATGTATGCCGACGACCAGCAGATGTATGTCATGGAGAAGAAGTATGACGTTGTCGCGCAAAGTATCAAGATACATGGAGAGAAAGCTCTCTCCTGGTACAAGAACAACTGTCTCTCGACCAACCCAGAAAAGTTCCAGCTATTAACGATCAACCCGAGAAATGTTGACAAAGACAAGGAAAATCTGTTGACGGTCATACTATTAAGAGAATGGGGGAAATAAGGCTTTTAGGAGTTCAAATCGATGAAAAATTGAGTTTTACTAGTCATATCAGTGATCTATGCTCGAAGGCCGGTCAAAAAGTAGGGGTCCTAGTGCGGCTACGCAATTTGATACCCTGTAATGCTAAACTATCACTTTACGGGTCTTCAATTCTGCCCCATCTAACCTACTGTCATCTAGTATGGCACTTTTGTAATGCATCGGTTCGGAGAAAGCTTGAGCGGATTCAGGAGCGAGCACGTAGGGCGGTGTACAAAACTAGATCAGCGTCCTATCAAGAACTGCTAAGTCGCGCCAAACTGCCGTCGTTGAACAATCGGCGCCTACAAGACATTGCCACTTTGATGTTTAGAGTAAAGCACAGTCTCGTACCCGAGAATATTTCTGACTTATTTAATATAAAGAACACTCAGTATAATTTACGGAACAGTGACTTCGAACTGCCAAGATTCGAAACTGTAAGATTTGGTGGGAATTCTATTAAATATATGGGACCTCTCATCTGGTCGAAGTTACCAAGACACCTAAGAACGATAGAAACTCTAAATTCGTTCAAGAAGAACATAAGAAAAGTCGACCTTTCGACTCTCGTTGAAATTTAAAACTTAAGTAAATAACTTTATAATCTTTTTAATTATCTACTGTAAATAACTATTATCTAAATATGTAAATGTATTGACTTTTAAATTTTTTAGTGTCCCCCATTAGCTTATAGCTAAAAACATAGACACAAATAAAGTTTTTCATTCATTCATTCGGTTCGCAGACGACGCAAATTTGGGCGATTTCACGTTGTTGTTTTGCAAAGGAAGGCCAAGAAATGTACAAAGTTTCAAAACGCAAGTGCTGAATTATTGTTCTGCCAATTAGATCTCTTGTTTTTCCACGTCCTCGTTGCCGTCGCGTCGTGGTTTCTTAAGGTCCCTAGTAAATTTATGCAGACTTGGCGTGGATTACTTTCACACTTTCACGTGAATCCTCGAAATGCTGACGATGATTTGAAGGGCTGCACAGTAAATTACTTTTCGAAAAACACTTTTACGGGATATTTTGAAACACATTTCTATTGTTTACCTCGTCTTTACAAACTTTATTTCCTTCACCAATACGAGTGCATTGAGTCCAGCTCAATCCCTTGATTTCAGAATCTTTTTATCGCCAATTTTGAGTCTCTCTAAAGTAATATGAAAATATGACATACAAGTATGAGTCAGTCGATGGAAATACTTCCTTAACTGCACACTGAATGATAATTCACCTCTTACCCTCCAAACTGAAAGTAAATCGTTCGAGAAGCGACGGGCTGTGCGAAAGCTTCGCTCGACAAAACTTATGAATGCACAGCATACTTAGTAGCCGCCCATCATGGATTTTGGCGCGAACTTTGCCATCTTTGCACAACACAAAAGAAGGAGACACACCAAAAAGAACTTGGAGTAAATTATAAATGAATGAAAATTGTGCTGGATTCCTGAAAATGTGAATGACCAAATGGGTGCGATTTCCTTGACTAAGCCACCACAATCCTAGATTACTTTAAGCGCTCTAGGAATAACTTCTCTCTCCTAGAACGTGGATGCAATTTGTCCATATCTCCAGGAGTACGCTAATTTGACCCCAAAAAGCAGTCGTTATTTTTTATCTACGGAGTAAACTTATCCAGCGGAGGTCAAAACTACGCGTCGCGTCAACATAGCGGTCAAACGTCGGGCATGTGCAAGAGGATAAATTCTGGTCGCCAATTTTCCGTGCTAAAATTAAGGTTGTCTTGCAAAGTAAACGGAAGAAAATTAAAACATTTATAGAAATCTGTCAAAGGTAACAAAAATAGGGAAAAGAAAAACTCGAGACTTTTTGAACACAAAGCTTAGTCAAGTACGGGTATCCTGCTGATTTACCATTCTGTTTTAACTTTTTACAATGAAAGTTATACGCTTTTAAAACACCGTGGCTTTCTGGCTTTTGTGGTTGTTTGTAACTCGTGTGTGACAACTTGTTTCCGACAACCCAAAAGCACACCAACCGGTAATTATAACATTTGCACATGCGCAGTCCTTTGACCGCTGTGTGCGTCGCATCTAGGCACTTGTGCGCGCTGTTTACGTCGCTTCGAGTCGTACGTAATAAACGAATCCAGGGCAACGAAGAATAAACTGACACAATTCTGCAAAATCGCTGTCACGGTTGGGGCATTTTGCAAGTGCATGCGAGGAGCGCTCGTTATTACAGTTTTTGTAACAGTGTTTTCGAAATTGGAGTACAAAAGAAATGTGTGGATCACTTCTGTCGAAGTTTAAGAATCCAACCAACAAGATGCACTCAGGAAACAAAAGTTTTACGGACCCAAGCCAGGCTCCGAGTGATAAAAGACTGACCGAGGAAGACGTGGCTTGGACTGAACACGGAGAGTTGTCTAAAGATGGACATCAAACTAGTGCATCGAACGTTCGTTCCATGAGAAAAAAACCCTGCACAAGCTCTCTCAAAGAGGGGTCTTCTAACGAAACTGATTCTTCTGAAACAGAAACAGAATCTGCCGTGTGCGCATTGGTTGACCAAAGCAGAAACATATTCCCTTCCGCGCGCATGAACAACAAGAATGATAGACTCCGCGTTTTGGATCGCGATGATCAATTGTTAGAAACTGCTCGTGAAATACTTATTTCTCAACTCCGTGCTTCCTCGTCAAGCTCCAATTCTGCCCAAGCTGTCAAGCCTTTCAGTTCGGCCGTTTCCAGTGTTCCAAACAAGACGCGAGCCGCAGTGGCATTTAACATTCCTGCAGGAAAAGCGAAATCGGTCTGTCCGCCTGCAAGAGTTCCAAGACGCTTCAGGCAGCGCAAAGTAGCACCCGAGCCTACTTTGGAAGATATAGAAGAGAAGATGCGTGCTGTTGAGAAGAGGAAGATGAAGGAGTTGGAGCGAGTCCGAGAGACCGCTCGTAGCAAGGCTAGACTGAGGCGACCACACCCTGTGATGACTTCTGCCCAAGCAACCGCTGTAAAAATCGCTGCTAAACAAGCAGCTGCAGAAAGAAAGCGTAGAGAAGAAATGGAGAAGCGAAGACAAGCTGGAAGCAAAACTTCCCGAAGTAGGCGTAGAATTGCAGATGCACAGGCCTTCGTCAGGGACCAACTTCAGTTGTCCATTCAACATAAAGAGAAGGAGACCGAGCAGAGAAAAATAAAGTGGCAGATGAAGATTGATAAAAGGAATAAGATGAAACAGAAGTACGCCAAAAAAGTCAAAGATAGAGTAAGTTACATTTGGTGTCACTCGGTAACTGAATAAGACAACAATCCAGGGTTTAGCCGCCTAAAGAGAGATTTAAGAGACTTAGAGCATGAAGCCCATTCATTCCCATGGAGGCTAATAAATTCTCTTGCGTTTATAGGTTACTCGAAGACTGCGAGAAGAAGAGGCAGAAATCCGAGTAGATCTTCAAGACATGGAAACTTACAAAGCCTTGGATGATAGCAGCGACGAATCTTGGGGAGACGAAGAAAAGGAGAGAGTCAAATACGACTGGGAAGATTTCTTCTCAGACTGAGGCCGACCTTTGAATCAAGCGGTCTTGGATGATTGTGGAAACCACAAGTTTGCATGTAGCTTGACCAACCATAACAGACACAGAGTTGATCTTGACCAATCAGAACATGGTTCTTTTCGCGCGCGTGGCGAGGGACAGGTTGTGTTACGAGTTCTGATTGGTTTATTTCACTGCTGTAGCTTCTTGTGATTGGTCAGATTGCATGCCTACTTGTCTGGATTCCCTCGGTCATTAGAGACCGCTCTACTCTGGATGTATTTTAAAGTGGTCTTGAAGTTCGAAAAAACATTGAAACAGCGCTGTAATTGTTGATAAAAATGTAAAGGAATTAAAATTTTAAACTATGACTATTTATTTGAAACTTTATTTTCGCCGTATGTATACTAAACTATAAAAGATGATACTTTGTTTGCAACTATTGAGAATACGTTATGCATCAGCATGGTATTTTTTTGCGTTTATAACACTAGTTTCAATTGTTCCTCCCTTCGTGATCTTTCACTTAGTCATCTGATCTCACTTCCCTCTAATTTTCCAAGAAGGTGGGTTTGCAGTCACTGTGTGGCAAAGACGCATTCATTTTCATGCTCTGTGCTCCAGACTAGGACCATAAAACACAGCGAGTATGCCTTTCCACAGTGCACTTTCTCTCCAAATGGATTCATTTCAGTTCTTATCGTTTCCCTACATAGACAAAAGGCGACGTTTCTTTTTCCTCTTCGCTTGCTTTCAATTTTACTCTCGATGGGGCGCTTAAAAAGGGGAGGCGCTAATTCAAGGATTCACAGTGCACTTAAAAAATTGCACCTCGAAAATCAAAACAATTTCTGATAACTGGTGGCGAATATCAATATCATTTCGCAAGGTCATCATGAACATTTAGTTATAGCTTGGTTGACAATGCATGATACCACAGGGTGTTATAATTCATCAATGAATCGTGAGAACAAAGAGCTAAACGGCGTCTTTCCGAGCTGTTTTGGAACACAACGTCGGGGTGGGGAGCATTCTCATATCAAGTCATATCATATGCTTACTTCGAGGTCTTGAGGCTTCATCAGCGGCCATCCCGTAGGGTTGACCCCCAGAGGTAAGGCTAGAATGGCATACGCGCTTTTAGGGCCCCAGGTTCCAAAGCAGGGTTTTGCAAATAATTTACTAACATGGTTGTGGGTTGACCCCATGAGATAGCTCCCAAGGTGTGGACGTTTACGATGACGAAATCATTGAATGGTCTACCTACGCAATACTACAAATATCCTTAAACGTCTGAATTAATGTGGTAGAAGTGGCCAAGTGCGACTAATATACCTTAATCAGTAGCATGTGATAATTTGTCTTGAACAGGTCTGAAAATTTAAAAGTATTGAGTAGGGTAGGGGCTCGAGGCCTGGCACGCCACGTCCCTATCCAAACTTCACTTGCGTCCCCCCACCCACCCCCACAATCCCCCGAAACATAATATGCAACAAATGGACCAACACAAAATACCAACGCCACGGTTGCGTTCAAGGCATTTGTTCAAATGCGTCTTTTATCAAAGGGCACTTAAACATAACACGTTATAAATTTCATATATACAATAAATGACACTTTCTGGGAAGGGTGTTCAATAAATTAAAAATACATGTTATATATATATATATATATATATAGATATATATACATAGACTATATATAGATAGATGTCATTCGGATTAAAAGATAAATGAATATACAAAGACATTTCCCTAAATATTTCTCGCGTATTAATCTCACAGGTGTACATTCTAATGAGAAAGTCTTTATACATGGCATCGCGTCACATAATTCTTTGAACAAAAACGTACGTAATCTGGTCACATAACAAAGATATTTCCATCCGGCTTTAAGTTTTTCTTTTTGTAGTTGTCGTGACTTACATAGTTCAAGCAAGACCTTAGAGTCTTAGTTGACTGAGGCTCAGGAAAGTAAAACAAAGTGATCAAAGTTAGGTTGGCATTTGAGTATTTGAAAAGATGGAGAGTTTTTTCCCGTCTTTTCTATATTTGACAATCACTGAATAACAAGGCAAAAGCAATGCTGTCCTGAATTACCCTCTTCACTCGATCGAAAAGCATTCTGGGGTGTCACATTTAAGTTGACAAACCATATCAGCGAGAACACTTAAATAATAAGCCACTCTCAAAGTTTGTTTTAAGACTCAACTAACTCGAAGCACTTTTTTTTTCCGCATTATCCTATTAATAGGATTACTAAGTATAAGGAGATTTGTACATTACAATGAAAGAAGAAAAGTCCCCGAAAACTCAAAACACCATGTGAACAGCTTCGAAAGTAACTGGGCAGAGTGATTTCCAAAAGAAGATAATTCCATTGATTACATAAATAAAGATAAACCAAACTTGCTCATAATTTACAAGTACAAGGTCACTGTCATCGTAAAAAACAAACAAAGAAAAAAACCAACGTACCAAATTCAATTAAAACCCAATTTCTCTGTGAACAGGGCAAACAATTTAATCCGGTGTACTGTATCAGCACCGCAAAACACCAATCTACCTTTTGAGAAATTGAGGGCAATTCCTATACTCCACCGCATAACTTTCAAGTCAATACAGACAAGTAAATAATTCATTTGTAGCCTCCTCAGACAAATTAAGCTAATGAGCGCCCCCGCACCGTCCAGCGGTCATTCTTCACTTAAAAAGAAGGAATGAAATGTACAAAAACAGTAAAAATAATTCACTGTAATACTCTCTATAATTGGACTGTACAGCCACTGCCAGAAATAGTTTCATTTCTATCAAGAGTCCATTTATATTCCAATAAAAACGTTTTCAGTTCGTGTTTGCATTATTAAGCCGAAAAAAACCTCACATAGATTTGAAATGAGCTGCTTACCAGAAAGGAGATTTCTAAATATTAAAGAAAACCTATAGAAATTCTTTACCGTGCTAAAATTACCCCCATGTGAGTAAAAAAGAGGGATCCTTTTAAATATTTATCGGTGAATCATATCTGTTATTTCCATCACCTCAGAGAAAAGTCACACCGGTTTCGATGTTCCATTAACTAAAGTCGCCTAACGCAGAGTTGGAAAAAAAAAACAAACAAAAACAAAAACAACAATAACAAGAAAAAAAGTATGCGCTAATAAATTGAACCCCCCCCCCCAAAATCACAAAATATTTGCTGACATCGCAATCAAATCCTTTCCGAAAACATAGATTTAAAAATTGGATATGCTAGTAAACAGAGAACTAAAATAAAATAAATCAAAATATTTGACAACAGTTACTCGTCACCGTTTGAACTGCTGGGTTGTGAATCAAACTCATATTATTCTTGGATTCGTCCACTAGCTTCTTGCTATCCTGGGACTGCAGGCTCATATCTGTGAGCTCTATGCTAACCACACCCTCTAATGGGCTGGGTTCGTTTTGGTCGCATTCCCCATCCCCATCGTTATTTTTAATGTACTTCGATGCGCTGTTTCTTTTCTCTAAAAAGCTGTTGCTTCGATCTTGCTCCGACATATCCCCTTTAGAAGCCAGAACTCCGTACTCTTCAATGAGTGGACTTCTCTTCCCGTTACGGATCTCCGAATTAGTTAGATTCACCTGTTCTTCCACATTTCTATCAACGTTTTCCTTGTTACTCTCCTGTATAACATCAAGATCCTCGCAAAGAGGCGCAAATACACTCATATTAACATTCAAACAAGTCGTTTTCCCATTATTTCCCTGTTTCGACGACGGACTTTTACTCGAAGATTTTTCTCCATTCGTGCCATTTACCGAGGGAAATGGGTATGTGGTTACCAGGCTATTGGCCCCTCCAACTCCATTCCCCCCTCCACTGTCTCCGTCCTTGTTACCATCGTCATTGTTAGAGCGCCTTGTATTTAATTTACAACCAGAAGTAGTTTTTAGTCGACGCATGTGCTTTTCTATTTCGTCTTCGTCCGAACTACTGCAACTAGAGGAGCGCCGGCTGCCTCCAGAGTGCACTGGGGACAGGCGGCGTGTGGTCCTTTTAGATTTCATCACCCCTCCCCCGAGATGTTTTCTTGTCCGTTCACTTCGTGGTGAGTTCACCGGACTGTCTTCAAGATCCGATTCGCGTTCCTCGTATATCTGATTCAAAGATAAAGGAGCACTGTTTGAATTTCGCAACCTGTTATGACGAACAAGTCTCCTTTCGTGCGGCCGTGACAGAGACGGTAAATTGGGTGTGATCTCAGTGGAAAACTGCTGGTTCGTTGAAGTGCAAGGTTTGTTTGAAAGCGCGCCCATCGTGTGAAACTTTCCATGTGTCTTGGGATGACTTCCAGATGTTACAAGATCATCTTCTTCCATTGAACTGTGAAGAATTTCTTCCGCCTCGATTGCATGAGTTTTGATTGTTTCATTCAACATTTGTCCTTCCCTTGGAGCCAGTCTCCCGGAAGAAAATCGGCGAATCCTTGGAGATCCCGACCCTGAACCACTACCATCCAGCTGACTTTCCGAATCGTCATTTTGATCTCCTTTTAATTCCACGTCTGGTGAACTGAGGGAAAACACCAGATTCGATTAGAAAAGGCGTGTTGGGATGGGTGTCGTCCAAACATTGCAGAGTAGCATAAGGAAGTCTAATTTTTTTGTAAAGCATACAGTTTCGCTATAAACTATTAGAAAGATATTGTAAGTACCTTACCGTAACACGTTGAAAGTAGTGTAATATGTCGTAAAATAACGTAAATGGTGTAGGTAGTGCAAGTAAATGGTATGGTGTAGGTAGTGCAAGTAATCGAGAGTAGTCTATCTACTGTAATCAAGGTCACTGTAAACTATACTTTGTTAGTGGTGTGTTCTCAGTAAATTATTGTAAGTGACGTATTGTAACTGAGACCTGTAGTGTATTGTAAGTGAAGTGATGTTTTGTAAAATGCCAAAAAAAATAATAATAATAAAAAAGAAATTACAAATAAAAAAGTGTTGTAGACTGCTTTAATAAAAAAAATTGGGATGTTGAGGTTGAAAAATCAACAACTCCAACCCTTTGACTCCGAGGAGAGAAAATTTTCTACTCTCTCCTTATAATATCACCCCTGAATCACACATTTAAGTCACAAGAGTAGAGGAAATGATAACCAACTAAAGAAGCTCTTGATATCAAAAAAAATCTCCCTATCAGAACCTTGGGAAATGTATAGGGCACAGTATAGAGAATATGCATACTGATGCTGGGATCAGTTACGCCATAAGCCAATGATAAATCAAGGAAGAGAAAGGAAGACCGAGACTAAAATAGCTCGTAAATGACAATAGAGCAATATTCAACTGAGTGTCGAAAGTAATTGTGTGTTGCATTGGTTTTGCTTTACTCCGCTTTGTGATTGGTCCAGAAATGTTGTCCCACCTTCTTAACCGATCAGAGGCAAAACTTCCACCAATCACGACCTGTTCACACCTGTTCACTTCTGTTTTCCCGAGCTTGAGAAATCTAAGTTCTCATTTCCTCTTGCAGACAGTCCTTTTTCCTTGTTAACCGCCGTGTTCTCAATCGAGAAGCGCACCATTTGATTCGCGTGCTTTACTGTTATTAATGATCACTTAACAATTGATGCAATACCTTGCTTCTGGTTCCTGTCGCTTATTCTCAGGTAAAGATCGCCGCGTATCAATCCTTCGGACAGGAACCATTCGACTATTATGGGATAATTTCAAACGCCTCAAGAGTTGCTCCGCTAGGAGATAGTATGTGGCCGCTATGTGGTCGTACGCGTTTTCTTCCAGGGACCTGGACAGAGTACATACAAAAGTTAGATTAAATTGTAGATGACACAAATGGTTTTTAATTTTACAATGACTTCATATGCCCTTGCATTTCAGAGTTTAAGCAAATAGGAAAAGAGATGGAAGTATATGAAAAAAAGGTCCATGAAGATCGATACTGCCGGGGTTTGTCTGTCTTTTCACATTTATCTGTTTGTCGATTAGTTTGTTCATCAGGGTCCGAAATCAGGGTCTAACATCAGCGTCTGACTGACTAAATACCGAGCTGACTAACTGACTGATTGACTGATTGACTAATTGCATAACTGACTTATCGATTGACTGACTGACTGATAACCTAGCTGATTTACTGACTGATTGACTGACTACATATGACATACTGCCTGACCACCTAACTGACTTATTGACAGAATATCTGAAGACCTAACTAACTTAGTACCTAACCGACTGGCTGACTGTGACTTTCAGACTCTTAAACTGAGAGCCTAGCTTTTGTCCACTAACTGGTTAGCTAGTTGACCATCTGACAATTTGTCGTACTGTCAGGCTCTCCGTTTAGGACAATTTGCCAAACCTGCTGCAAAATTGCACTGCTTGCAACCTATAACAGCAACATAACTCACTTTTTAACTTTCTCCCGATTTGCAATCTTTCCAGTTTCTATGATCTCCACCACATAATTATGTTCCTCAGGGGTAAGGGGTAGTTCTGTTACCAAGGGTACAGGAGTGGGAAGTACAGGTGGATGTCCCCCTTGGAACCAACAGTCCTCCATAATACTCTCCATTGAACAGCGATGGCATGGTTCTCTCACCAACATCTTTTCAATTAAGCTGTAGAAAGATGAGTTGTTTATGATCAGAGGAAGACATGGCCAGGATACTTTGATATGTTCTTGGGTGAAACACTACTTTCAGAGTACTTCTCTCCTCCCTCGAGTATAAAAGGGAGTCAGTAAACTGTTAGGGAAGTCAAATGAAATGCTAAATNAGGAGTTAACCTTGCAATGAAGGGGCATGTCATACAAGGAAGAGTTGTCACACTCCTGGTCGTTCCAAGCTATGGGGTACTGGCTTTCACTGGTGATCATATCCCTTCATGTGTTAAAATTTCTAAAAAATTGGCATAGCTCTCAACACGTCACTGTGGAACTCAGTTGGTAGTACAGTCGAGCCTCAGTTATGTGGATTCTTGGGCGGACTACACTTATTGCTTTGCATAATTAACAATTATACCACGAGCGCGCGTTGGATATGAGATGATAGATAACCAACTCGGCGCTACGCGCCTCGTTGGCTATAATCATCTCATATCCAATAAGCGCGAATGGAATAATTGTTTGATTAAAAACGCCCCCAAGAAATTATTATTTTGTAAGAAGAAACCGGTTTTTTTAGCACCCTTTTGATTTTAAGCTGACGCGTACGCTTACCATATTTGTAGATTATGGTATATTGGCTCATATACCATAATGGCTAAGCCAATAAAAATTGTTGAATTGCATTATCCAATGATCCAGTTTTTAATAATTGAAAATATAATTATAAATGTTGTTAGATAATGGGACCAGAGAAGCAAGTCCAGATAGTAAAAAATTCCGGATGATTCGAGTTCTGGATAATCGAGTTTTGACTGTAGCTTCAAACTGAAATCTAAGAGGCACAGATTCACTCCTTGTCAAAGCTTTTGGCCTCTGGTTCATATTTCTACAGTAATTTCAATTGCTGCTGACCTGTGAGGTTTGAGTACTCACTTCTTGAAAACTTTTCATTATACCTTTCTTATTGGGCATAAGTCATTGTGTTGGATCTGTTAAATGTTTGGGAAAGACTTGTAATTTATTTCTTTAAAGAGAACTGTGGAATCTGATGGAAATTGCCAACAAATCTTATTAACAATTTTAGGAAACGGAGAAAGTGTAAATTGAGTAATTATAAAACACCAAACTTAAACTAAAACAAAAACAAAGCAAATAACAGTAAACGTTAGTTAAGGTAGATGCAGCCAATTGGAACTCAAAGCAAGTACACATAACTGGCCTTATGTAGTTAAAAATGGGAGTAGTTATGTGTTTTGGTTTTGCAATTGATCAGTTGAAAACCAAAACAATTTCAGATTACTTACAGAAATTATGGTCAATTGGGTAAGCACTTTGTAAAAGCACTGAACTTCTTCCCATGTTGATTGATAGGAGCCACAACGTGTCTGCTCTGTATAAAAATTTTCCCATCATAGCAGCCGTGGCTTACACCGGTATATCTTCACAAGTACAAGAAACTACTCCCCACCACAGGTTAACCCTAATCCCTGACTCTCCTCCCCCCAGACTCTCCTCCCCCCAAATCTCCTGCCATTTTAACATGTTCAGAAGGCAGCGTGGTCGAGTGCTCTGCGTGTCGGACTTGCGATCCGCCGCTCCCGGGTTCAAGTCCCGCCCTGGCCACTACTTGGATTTGTTTCACGGTAGCCCCGAGTTTCAAATCCTCGGCCATGCTTGTAATATAGCCAACTGGTTTGCCTTCGGCCAGTTGGGATTCTTAACNAATTTTTTTTTTATGTTCCACAAACAGTTAACCAGCAGAGGTTGACCTCTATCCTCAATCATTAACCTTCCCCCTCATGTTTCCAAAACATTTAACCAGTAGAGATCAAAGGCATAACTAAGTGGGGGTGGGGTTCTGTGGTCACCGTGAACCCCTTTTAAAAGCCTTTTTAGTTGCATTATGTAAAACGCGACATCGAGGTAAAAATGCAAATATGGAAAGTACTCTTTGTTTGACATAGTGTGACCTTATCTTTGAGAAATCCTGGTTATGTCTCTGGAGATTAACACCCATCCCCAATCTTTAATCCCCATTTCAACAAGTTTCCAAAATACCATATAAGGGAATTTAAGCAAACCACGACGGCGACGGCAACGAGAACGTGGAAAAACAATAGATCTAATTGGCAGAATAGCCCAGCACGTGCGTTTTAAAACTTTGTACATTTCTTAGCCGTCCTTTGCAAAACAACAACGTGAAATCCCCAAAATTTGCGTCGTTTGAGAACCGAAACCGCGGCGGCAAATTAATTTAATTTGCATTTGGAAAATGCCTTGCCACAAAGCAAAACAAAACAACCTGGCCTAGCTGGGTCCCATTTCTCAAAAGTCTCAGTAACTAAAATCAAAAGTTGAAGAATTAAACGGCCCTTTAAGTTACCAGAACCTTTTACAAATGGCTCCAGGTCACTTACAATTATTCAATATAGAATGCTACATGTATCTGTGGGCTGCCTCACTGAAAATCTCAATCTGCAGCTTAACTTCTCGGCCTCAACCAAAGGGCATTCATTAGAAGATTTCCAGTACAGCAAACACTTACCTTTGACAAGCCTGAGATACATGTTCAGATACGCTGTACCGCACATCCATGATGTTGATGAGTGTTTCGCTATCATTTGCCTCATAAAAGGGAGCTCGACCACACACTAACATAAAGAGAATGACTCCAAGGCTCCAAACATCTAGGACAAAGTAACATTTAAATCAAATCATGCATTTAGGATTAACAGTATGTCATTCATTCCTAATTGAACAATTGTCAAGTTATTACGGAGAAACCAGAAAGAACTACAGTATTTCCTCGAATAAGCGCCAGGGTGCTTACCGTATTTACCCGTGTATAATACACACTTTTTTTCTACAAAAATAACCATCAAAATCGCGGTGAATATTATACACGGATTCTATTGTTTGTCTTGCACGTCCTAGTTTGCATACGTTAAAAACAACGAAAAAAGTAACACATTTAAAGCTTTGATTAAATAACTTATTTTCAATGAAACATTATAGGTGCATATTAAGTGTTTACTCTAAAATCAAGAGGAAAGACAAAAATTGCTAAATATTTTCGCAAGTGTGCAAACAGGCACGTGGATCAGATTTCAAAAGGAATATGCAAATTTGCCTGCGTGTGAAGATCTCATGTTACATAGAATTTTTCACTGAGAAGCAAGAAGAAAGTGAGCAAGAAATATTTCAGGACAAAAGCTTTATTTAAAACAGTTATTGATTTGTTGTTATAAGCGAAAAATGCGTGAAATTCTTACATGTTCAAAGCGCATGCACTGGAATTCATTGTGGTTATATTGTTGTTTACATGACTTAACACACAGAAAATTGCATTAAGCGTTAGTTTGAAAATTCTAAAAATACAACGATATGACACGAAATCTTCAATAATTTTCGGACATCATCGTTGCTCAATCATAATATTTACCGGGCCATGGGATCGTCAAATTAGCTAGGCCTCGCTTGAAGTCCTAAAGTTTGATTTCAATAATGTCATAAATAACTAAGTAGGAAAAGATATTGAAGATGTTAATGACATAGTAAATTTCTTACTTTTGTTGTCATGATAAATAATTGTACAAATATTTAACTAGTCTTTGTTGCCATGAAAAACTTTTTTTCTGATAAATTAGGTTAAAAACAAGGGTGTGCATTATACATGGGCGTGTATTGTACACGGATAAATAAGGTAGTTCAAAATTTAGGCTAAAAGGAGGTGCGATGATTGGGAGGAAGGTGCTTAATCAGAGGGGGTGCTTATTGCTTTTCAACTGTTTTCTTCACATGCATCCTAGTAATTTGATTATTACACAAATTACTGGTTGTCGAGGACTCATGGTTCATTGCTCAAACGTGGTCTAAGTTACTCCTGGATAGTTAACAGCATTTCTAGAGCACAGATACAAGACAGAAATTAAAAGAACAGCAAGCACATGAAGATAGAAATAACTGGGAGAAACTTGGAGGAAAAGAAACTATTCTCCTGTACTGATTCCACTTCAATTAAAACTCTAAAAAGTCTTAAATGAAGTGGCAATAGAAACAGCTTTTCCTTGTATACCAAGAAAATATGGTATTTTACTAACATCCACTAAATAAATCTCCTTACTGACAGCAATTGATTTCCTTCTAAATTAGATACGAGAACTTGGTGCTACATCAAGAGAATATCTTCTTACTAATGAGCTTTTCTATTCTCATAAAATGTTTGCATGATGACTTATCCCATTGTGGGGAGAAATTAGATGTTAATAACTGCAAGGAAATCTGTGGTAATTCAAGGAAAGAATTATTAAACAGTTAACCAATTAATCTGTACAACTATCTACATAAAAGTTGAGACGCTTTCTATGTCCACAATGATGACTGCCACAATTTTTTATCTTAACAACTGCAATGATTACCAAATCACAGGGCTACAATGATAATGATTTGTCATTTGTCATCAATCAAGAAACTACAATTTGTAATGAAATAAATTTTAAAATTGTTTCAGATTCCTCCACAGGAAAGATGAACCCTCTAAAGTGTGTCCAGCTCCCAACCTGTGGCTTCATAGTTCAAATGAATAAAGGCTGATAGTTTCTAAAGAAACTGTTTAGGGCTGCGTTGGTGGGGGTAACGAAATAATTTGGATATATCAACAAAGTTGAAATGGTGAATTGGCCACCATAACGATTATAAAAGCTGACGTTTCGAGCGTTACCCCTTCGTCAGAGCGAATGTCTTTGTCTTTCGCTCCGACAAAGGGCTAACGCTCGAAACGTCAGCTTTTGTAATCATTACGGTGGCCAATTTACCATTTCAACTTTGTTGATATATCCAAATTGCTTCATAGCTCAGTTGATAGTAGCACCCAACTTATATCTTGGAAGCACAGGTTTGAATCTCATTAAGGCCTGAATTTTTTGTTAAAAGGGAGACTGAAACCTAAAATTTTAATTTTTTTTGCATTCATTTCTAAATGATGCTATATGAAATTTAGGCAAGGTTAAAATCGAGGCACGATGGTCAGCGGAGGACATGCTGCAGGGCGCCCCTCTGCAATTGCAGGGTCACCAGGTTTTCAGTATGTTTTGAGATCATAGGGGATCTTAGCGTGAGCCACCTCTTGTGCTCCCACCCTCCCTCCTCTATGGCGGGTCAAGAGCAGGTAAGTATAAAACAATTCCACTGACTTGTCAGTGTGACTGGTGCCAGGGGGGTGGACCAAGGTTGCATCACCATGGTAACCTCCCTGCCGTGGGCAGTCAGCGCAACTGCCACAGTGCTACAGCACCTTCCTCCAAGCTCATCAGTGCCGATAAGTTTAATGAGCTATAGAGGAGTAAGATGAAGTCTTAGTGGCTAATTTCATTCCCTTCTTGTCTCTTATGAGAAAATTTGATTTCAATTTGCCTTTTTCCTGCTCTTGTAACACCGTACACTAAAAAACAGTCAGCAGTGGTCAAATATGACATCAGTGGTGGGGAACTAACTTCAGAAGGCCTCATATCATATTTCATTTTAGAAAGTGATTCCCACTGCAAGCCATGCAACTTCGATAACTCCATAACCATACTGAAGTTCCAAAGGAAGAGTACAGGATTAATATCTTTCTTCCCCACCAGTGACAAAGCAGCAAGCTAAAATAACTACTGACATCGCTTTTCTGAGCCGCCATACTATTATGTAAAACTATTTTTTTTGAGGCAAAGTTGGGTCATAAGACTGAAAAAAAAATTTGAATGTTGATAATTGAGCAATTAGGTGCAATTTAAAAACGATTCAATTTTAGGCTTCAGATCTCCATTAAGCTTCTTTTCCGCAACTGCTTGAATTGCAACTCAATTATATATGAGGATCTTGGCTTTATTTAAACAAGAAACTTGTTCTAAAGAAACAGCTGGCTGCTGGGTAAGCTATTATTACATTGAGGCTAGCAGAAAACAATGCCACAGGGCAAACAAACAATGATCATTGCATGTTAAGTGTATTGTAATGAAAAAAAGTGTGAGCAAAATTAGGAATATCACTCTTAACCTTAATGAGACAGTTCCTTTGTAAGCAACACGACAAAGGTCATAATTATCCTCTTTACTGCCAATTTCATTGTCAGGAAGTCGCCAAAAAGGTAATGGACACTTCTAAATAATTCAGATACTGCCCTAATTATTACTGCTAAGAACCAACAATTGCCATTAAATACCTTTGTAGTGTAAACATTTTATGAATTTATATGTTATGTGCAGAGTCATTTTGGAAAATATAGATGAAATTGCAAAGGATCCTTACAAATTAAAACAATGCAGTTTCAAATTTAGAATGTGTTCATTCAAAATTGTAATCCCTGATACCTATTGGTGAGTAAATGACACGAAACCGACCAAAAATTCAAGCAAAAAGCGTTATTAAAATCCTACAATCAAATATGTTAACCTTTCGTTTCTTGTTATGAAAGAAAAATTACATTTCTGTCCAGACAAATTCCTTATTTTAATCAATTGTTGTTATTACTTTTTCCTTTGGCCAGGTGTTGATTCCGGGTGGTGATCAAAATTCTAGCGCAAGATTAAAGCTCGATCGATATTGTAAACGTAATTCTCGACAAAAGTAATTTAAAAAAATATTTCAAGCATCACTTGGCAATTGGAAGCTTCCTACCGGCCAATCGAATACTGTACGTATTCCACGCAATTTCTCTGTAAAATTTGCATGCTCACCTCCTATTGAGAAGGGGCAGTAAAACTGAGTTAAGCTGAAAATTTGAAGTGTGTGAATCCATTACACCGCATTTCACTGCATATTAATAAAGGTAAATATGTCCGGACACGAGTAACGTGCCCTTCAAATGTCCCTTACAATTTGACTTAGAATAAAAACATTTCATCACATGGATGGTAATAAAGAATTACGAAGGCTACCAATAATGATTGGACACCCCCAAAAAAATCTTGAAACCGCTTGCAAATCAAACAAAATTGTACTATTTCCTGCTACATGTTGAAAGCCTCTAGAACAGGCATGTTATTAGATGAAACATGCGAAGACGAACCGTATTCATTAAGATTAACGCAAGGTACAAAAGCCGCTAGAAAATGAACACGCAATATTCAAAGAGGGCTTTTAATCCTACGGAGATGATAATGAATCCAAAATACTCACCAACTGCTGGAGCATCGTACGAATCTCCTAGAAGAACTTCGGGGGCGGAATACGCTAACGATCCACATGAAGTATCAAGCTTTTGACCGGGAGAGAACTTATTCGAAAGACCAAAATCCGTGAGCTTTGCAACATCCAAACTCTTGAAGAATATCACATTTTCGAGCTTTAAATCCCGATGCACAATGTGTAGTTTGTGGCAATAGTCAATGGCGAGAACAATTTGTTGAAAATAATGGCGAGCTTTGTCTTCAGAGAGGCCTTGTTCGTGGTTCATGATATATTCATACATATCCCCACCATCGCCCAGTTCTTGAACAAGGTACAATTTTGTTTGTGTATCGATGACTTCGTACAGTCTGACAACATTTGGATGTTGGACGAGTTTCATGCATCGAACCTCCTTGACGAGATGTGCTCTGGAGATCTCATCGAGTTTAGTTTTATCGATCACTTTCACTGCCACTCGTTCTCCGGTAAAAACATGTCTCGCAACTTTGACAACAGCAAAGTGACCGCATCCTAGCGTTTCTTGCAAGTCGTATAATCCAGCGATTTGCCCATCTTTCAAGGTGGAATTGAAGGAGTATTTCGCCATGTTCTACTATGAAACATTATGGATCGGCCATTTCGACTGTAGGCTGTTGATGCAAACAATGTTGGGAACAGACAATGGAAACGTCAGTTTACATCACAGAACCAATCAGAACACGAGAAATTGACGAAACGATGGAATTGGAACGATCGACCGCAATCGAATCTTCCCTGGAGCAACAAGAAATGTCGTTTAAAGCAGGTTATCTAATGATATTGCAAATGTTACTACACATTCATACAGAAGTGAAATTTCTAAACTGTAATATAGATTCAATATTAGAGCACTTTTTTTAAACGCATAACTAAAATGGTCTTTGTTGCTTCTTGAAAAATCTCAGATTGACATTAACGTTTACTTTGAAGATAAGACAATGAACCAAAATTTCACATTTTTCCCTACGAAGTTAGAATATTTTGAATTTCGCAGTCAAGAGAAAATCTCGGACTGGTTTTACTGTTGCAGCTGTACATGAGAATCAGTTATATGATTGCGTGTATGAAATGAATCAATTCGTTTTCTATGTTTACATTCGTCCGTACCATAGGAAATCAAAGAAGTTGTCGAAAATTTTATAAAATTAAATTACGGCTTGCGGTGTATATTTATCGATGGAAAATACCTCGAAGGTGTACAATAAACTAAAGAAATGAACCTGGCAAATGATTACGTACAATACAGTGAGCCGAGGGTAATTTACATACCCTACCCAACACCTCGATGAAAAAATGATAATGACGATGATGCATAGTGATGATAATGAAAACTAAAACAATAAAGGGAAATACAAAATAACGTAGCATTGTCATTTGATCTTTAATCTTTAATCTTTAATAAGTATACTCCTAAAAAAGCAAAAAGAACTATATTAGGAGTTTCAAAATAATATCGTAAAAAATAACAATAATAATTTCAAAAACAATGGGACTAAGTAATGAACAACAATCGGTTAAAACTCTTGATAGAAATATGATCCTATGAATTACAAATAAATAAATAACTATAAAAATAAACAATAAAACATATTGAATATATAAATATAGTTATAACATAACGTACTATTCCTAAACTAAAAGATTAAAACAATTGATAGATGTCAATTAGATGACTTGATGGCTGCAAGAGCAAGTGCCTTAAACTCATTTAAGTTAACGTCTTTACTGATGGGTAGATTGTTCCATAACACTATTGTCCTTGGGTAAAAAGAAAACTTGTACACATTAGTTGATACGCTGATTTGGCGGAAAAGACGACTGTTCGGTAATCTGGTGGCTCTTGTTATTTCTTGAATTTCGGGAGGGAAAATAATACCCACATGACCCATTGAGATCTTGTAAAACATACTAGATTGAAGAAGGAGTCGGCGATTTTCAAGGGAGTCCCAACCAAGGTGTTTAATCATTGGAGTAACATGGCTACATCTTGAATAGTCGTTAAATATTAATCTTGCTGCTCGGCGTTGAACCATCTCAATTTGGGTGATGCTCTGTTTGGTGAAAGGATTCCAGGCACAACAGGCCATGATATTCGAGTTTTGGGCGGACCAACACACGATAGGCTGTATCTTTGACTTTGTTATCACATCCACTTAGGATGGGACGCAGAAGCCCAAGCGTAGAATTTGCCTTGCTGCAGATGTCGTTGACATGCTCGTTCCAGCAGAGATTATCTATCACTGTGATTCCGAGGTACTTCGCTGAGGAAACTCGAGAAATGGGCTGGCCACCTAAAGAATATTGGAACGTAAATGGAATTTTCTTGTAAGTTATACCGAGTCGATAACACTTCTTGAATTGATCACTGAGATCATCCTGGAAAGACCAACAATCCTGAGGACTATTGATTTCTCTGTAGAGGATGCAATCATCTGCAAAGAGGCGTAGGTGTGACTTGACAGACGAAGAGATGTCGTTTATGTATAGCGAAAATAGGACAGGGCCCAAAATCGAGCCTTGTGGAACCCCCGAGCGCACTGGCTTGGAGGAGGATTTGATGCCATTCACCGAGACTGATTGGGAAGAGTTTGACAAAAAGGCCTCAATCCACACAAAAGCATATTCCCTCAGATGCTATAATAGTTAAGCTTCATCAGCAGTCTTTGATGGGGTACTGAATCGAACGCTTTGGAGAAATCGAGGAGTACAACATCAGTTTGACTATGAGTGTTGATTGACTTTGCCCAGTCGTGTATGGCTGATATTAGTTGAGTTTCACAAGAAAACCGCTGTCTGAAGCCATGTTGCACGTTGGACAGAATGTTATTACTAGACAAGTGTTTAGTTTTTTTTTTTATCGTGAGAAAATAGCTGGGAATATGATCATGATAGCGATGACGAAACTAGACAAACAAACACAAGAGTCTTCTGGAGAGTTTGGCCGAGATGGACTCCTACCGAGATGAAATTTGATGAACGAGACGGTATGCGATGATACGCAACGTAACCTCGAATGTGGTTCTTCTTGTGTGGCTGGAGATCTGACGACCTAGAGAATGATGAAGATGGTGATGATTGAGTCTGGCGAGACTCAGAGTCAAAGAACCGGAAGAGACTGTCAAGGCAGCCCATTTGCCGGAAATACAATTATGATTTAATATTGAAAAGGAAAGAGAGCTTGACTTAACCGCCATCTGGGAAATATGATCGGAACCATCCAAGAGAGCGGATTATGGTGGTTCTACAGTCTTTGTACCAGGGTACACGCACAATTTACTCTTGATTTCTTACGGGGACCACCGAACGGGCGACATGCTCCTACCTGTCTGTTTACGCCATTTGGACAGTCTCAGCAAAGCAGATTTACAATACAAATATTTTCATGGCATAATTGCTGACCTTGCCTTATTTGTCATGGCTGGATGACTTTGCGATTTCTATCATTACGTAGTGTTTTCTCTTTTGCATTTCTGAAATCTTTATGCTAAGATACAGTGGTTGAGAGGTGTTTGCCGAGCTCCCTCTTGCTGACAGCTAAAATTTTGTAAAGTAACTGCTCTGACGGTGGACTAAAAAATGCACTCTCCGATTTCATCTCGCGACTTCTCACTTTTCGATGTCGCTTCTTTCCTAGTATATGAGGCACTTGCTTAATGTGAAATGTCTTATAAGTTGTCATAAACTGCACAAATTTCTCGGAAAGTTTCGTCACAGTTTCAGTTTCATCATAGCTCGTACTTTGGTCGGGCAGATTCCCGCCATTGAAGATACTGAAATAGATATTACAATCATTTGGTGTGGCCTTACCGTGTCAGCCAATCAAAACCAAGGCCGTCTCCATACCGTCACTCATAGCATTGTATCATAACCAATCAGATCCTTTGTTTTTCACAAATACCTATTCCACGTGCTCAAAGACAGCGTTGAAGTTCCTTTCAAGCGCTAAACAATAACACAACGTAGTGTCAGCAGTTTGGAACTGTTTACGCCCTCGTTGGGTGCCGAATTCTCCTTTTTTCCCCCTCCTCTTAACGGTAAAACCATCATGCCTTCTACAAAAAACTACTACCATGGAAGTTTGTGGATGAAAAAAGGAGAAAGTGAAGGAATGGAGTCGGTGATTTCGGATTTTCGAGACCTACTTCAAGTCAACCCGAAGATCGACGCGGAAGAAATGAGTTATCGTGACATGTTAGACTCTGAGCGTCCTTCGGTGGACGATTCAGAAATAACTCTTCGAGCTTGCATGTGTCCCACGGCAGATCCATTCAGGAAGTCTACGGCTTCTTCTTCGTCGTACAATTTACTGGTGGAGCTCATCGAACAAGGAAATTTGATAAAAGAAGCTGTTCGGAGATTGAAGACCTCTCCCTCTAGGAGTAAACAGTTGAAACGGCTCGACCGCTGTAGGTAACTGGAAATTTTTGGGGTCACAGGACACGCTGACGATACAAGTGATATTATAAATTAGTTTTAAAGTATTTGGATAGCATTTGCCATCAACGATCTTCCAGAAAAAGTTACATTTGTCGGAAAACTGAGTATTGCGGTTTGTAGACCGCTTTTGTTTACACTTTGAATGCGCTAACGAACGAAAATACGTATTACGTAAAAACATTTGGGCAGTCTGATACATTTGTTATCCCGATAAACGCTTATGACGGAACTTTCATTCGAAATCAATTGAAAGCGAGCAAGACAATCGTATTTGAACGATTACGTGCACTGCGGTAGGATTTAGTAAATGTCGCCATTCACTCTCTGCGCAGACTGGTTTCCTGCATATTAATCAATGGAGTTGAAGAAACAAACAATGCGTTGAAAAGTCCAAAAGGTTTCATCCCGAACAGAGAGCGACAGATATATCAGTCGCGAAGAATTATATTTAATAAGTACAGATTATCTTGTTTGTGGTTCTCTCTCAGTGACTTGGTTTTGGACAAACCGTGTTTATGTCTCAGAAAGAATTCATGGAACTAACAATGTGCGTCACAAATAAAATCGAGTAGACTTAATCACTTTCAAGCTGTTTTCTCTTAACCTTTAAGCGCATTAACTGCCCAATAATAAACAAACGGTTTAATGTGTTCATGAAACGAACTTAGAACCCATTAATACCACAAGGATTGAACTTCATGAATAAAGAACACCGTTAAATACTAATTTTTTTGTAGATCAAACTCGTGTTGGATTAGCGCAATATAACATTCCATAGACATCGGAAGTAAGCATTACTCTTTGTGTAAGCAACAGTATGACTTCTGTGGGTTCCTTCTCTTTGTGGTATGTGATCAACATAATCCACCGTAATGTTTTCCTTTTAAAATAGGTAGAAGAGGAGCTAGGGGCGTTAAGTATTAATCCATAGTAAACAATAACTCGAGTAGTAACAGCTTAGACCTCCCCTCTTGGACCCTCTGAAAGAATTTGACGCTTCAGCCAATTGTTCGTGTATTGTTTTTCATTTTTCATTATGATTTGCAATCAGTTCAATTGAAAAAACAGGGGGTTATAAAATTTGATGAGAAGTATGTTCTGTGGCTAAAAAATAACTACACACAGGTTTCTTTCCTTTTTTTCTCTTTTTTGTAAATTTTTTGAAATCTATGAATTTGGCTAAATCGGTCATCAGAGAAAATCTCTCGGCTATAAAAAAACCTGAGAGAAATCTTGTTTTTTTTTTTTTTTCTGTGAATTGAAAGACGAAACCTCTAAAAGTACTCAAACAGGACTGTCCTCCCCTCCCTCCCCTCCTGAGTCTTGAGTTGTATTCGCAGAAAGACAACTGGGCCCAGGTAGGATGACTGCAAACAAAGATGGCGGAGAATTTCTCCCGGAACTTGTGGTGTTTGACTTAGGTGAGCGTTTGTTCTCCTTTCCTACTTTATGAATTATTGTCAAACAAAAATCTAGTCATATCTAACAATTTAAAGGTGTAGACAGATAGGCACTCATTTGTAGTCTCGCCGCTAGCCCGGCAGTCTCCGGTAATAGACTTCTGAAATACTAATATCAATATATTTGAAGTTCGAACTATCGGCCTCATTTAAGTTCTTGTTTTGTAAAACGAAGGAATGTGATCCTAGTCTTAAAGTTTGTAACAAAAGCAACGTCTTATGTAGATAACAGCACAAAATGTAATAGAATCTCAAAGAAAAAAAGAATTATTTTAAAAACAAGAAATTTCAGAATTTTCTTTTCTTTTACTTCAAGTGTTCTTCAAACGGGACATTTCAATTATTTTAAGATGTTTTCGTTTCATCAAGAATTTTATTGCTAGGAACAAGGGCTAATGAAAACACAATGAAAGTGACAGGTCAGTTCTTTGAACAAAGAAAGCAGGCTTTAGAGCGGAACTTATCTGGCAAGACTTTACTGATATGAATAGTGTACCTAGCAGGACACATGCATCGAACCATGGCAAAGATACTAATTCAACCTCTAGTGTTTTTGTAGACTCAGGAGCTCACAGGTTTTGACTTTACAAATGGGATGATACAATATTTCCTGTGATTGAATAATCATAAAAGCTATGGACAGGTACTGGAAAGGATTTTACTTATGGCTTAATACTTTGTTATTATTTGTAATAGATTATACATTGTGGCCTTTTTGGGCTGACACCCATGTGTCTCCACCCTTTACAAGAAAGAGGTGGGTGTTTTTTTTTTTTTTATATCTGGTAATAGTTGACCCCTAGGAGTGATGAGCATCTGATTTCTCCCACATTATTACCCTTCAATTAGGTTGGAAAAATAACAGAAATGATCACCAGCTCAAAAAAAGCTCTTGATTGTTAAACCAATAACAGTAATAATTTCAGTCTTTGTCCAAGAGGTGGTCTGTCTCCCCCATCTGTGGTTTTCAGATGAGCCCTGTTTTTTTAAAAACTCAAAACTAAAATCTGAAAACTAAAAACTAAAAATAATAATTACACTAAACTCAATAAGATAGAGCTAAAAATTACAAAGTCTCTTAAATTGCACTAAACCTAATAAAAAACTGAAGAGTATCTCAAATTACAGTAAAAATTGTGAGATAGCATTTTTAAAACTGCTATCAGTTTCGTTATTTCTGGCTTCTACTGGAATTTTATTCCATTCCTTAAAAAAAAAAAAAATAGGTAGAGCATAACTGACCCTTACTGCTATGAGATCTATCAATTCTCAGGTCACTGGCATGATGATTTTGTTAATTATGAATCAAGGAGCCAGTGTTGAAATGATGATATTGTGATCTAAAAATCCTTTAACGTATTTGAAAACATAAACAAGCCTATGAATGCCTCATCTAAAAACTGTCCTTGGATGAAGTATGGACATTGTCTAGAACATCACACAATCATTTCAACTGTACTTCTGGCTTTCTTGGTAAATTCTTATGATGGTTTGGTCAACTTATCAATAATTAAATTCTGTTTATGCCAATTGCTTTAAAGTAATGGCTCAGTACAAGACAGAAGTGGAAACAAGGTGAATCTGTATGATGACACATCAGAAATTCTGAAGCATCTCAGCTCTAAAGGAATGCGTCTTGCTGCAGCTTCCAGGTGACAATTATTTTAAGTTTTGAAGGTTACAAAATTTTGACGAAATTCTCCCTCCTGGGAGTGACCAAAAAATGGAATTTCTCCTTAAAATGTATATTTTTATGCAAAAAGATCACGAGAAGATAAGGAAATATGTATCGACATTGTTGTTGATCAAACTCCAAACTCCCCATGCTTAATTTATTAGAGATTTGTGTTGATTTAGTGCTCTTGGAGCTGTTTATGCACTGTTGAAAATGTCTTTGATGTCACCAGTCATGTTACTGACCTCTTGGAAAACATGATTGCTGTTTCAGAGGTTTCGAAAGGCTATGATGCTCTTGAGTTGTGATTTATTATCTCTGCTTTTAGCTGGCTGATATCATTATCACTGATAGCAACATGAAACAAAACAGATAGTTTGTGTCTGAACTTTGGAGTTCCAATGATCTTGAGAGGTGTAATAACATTCAATGGAACATTCACTAGTTAAACTAACAAGTATGAGACCCTCCCCCTCCCCCCCCAAACCTTTTAACTCCCAAAATCTGATTGTTAATTCTCCCATCTTGCTGCTACACAATTCCTTGTAAACTAGTTATGAGAATTTGTTGTGAGATCAAGATAATAACTTCTACCTGATAAGTTAGAGTTTTCCCTCTGCTGGAAAACTTATGGATATCATAGGGAGAAGTTACATGTTATTCACTTCTGGGAGTTGAAGGGTTAAGAATTGAACTGTAGGATTTCTTGAGATGTGGCTGGATGGTGGCCTGAGAATTCACAAAGATCTTGAGCAATTTTATAAGCTCCACTCCCCCCCCCTCTACAACAAATTAATAGTGTTGCCCTGTATTTTTGTATGACCCTTACCTGGATTATTGCTACTTTAAATGATAATAAATAAAAAATAATAGACAGTTTTTAACATGGAGAAACACTTAGCTAGAAGCTAGTTTACAGGTTGTCCACCAAACAACTGAAACAAATAATTCCAATTGAAAATAACATTATTAAGAATCCCAACTGGTCGAAGGCAAACCAGTTGGCTATATTACAAGCATGGCCGAGGATTTGAAACTCGGGGCTACCGTGAAACAAATCCAGGTAGTGGCCAGGGTGGGACTTGAACCCGGGAGCGGCACATCGCAAGTCGGCTATGCTGACCACTCAACCATGCTGCCTTCTGCCTTTTGTTCTGGGATAGCAAACTTAGGTCTGAAATAAAGGGTGAAAGTTTCTAAAGAAACTGTGGTCCTGTGTCAGTGGGGGTAACAAGGTAATTTGGTTATATCAACTAAGTTGAAATTGTAAATTGGCCAATGTAAAAAAAAAGATAATAAATAAAGTCAATATAAATAAAGTCAATAATAAATAAAGTCAATATATTGGCCACTGTTAAAGAAAAAAAAAGATAAAGTCAATATAAAAAGAGTTAAAAAGCTGACGTTTTGAGTCCCTCTTCACTCGCTCTGACAAAGGGCTAATGCTCAAGACGTCAGCTTTTGAACTCTTTACAGTGGCCAATTTTATTTCAACTTAGTTGATATAACCAAATTACCTTGGGTCTGAAATAATTAAAGGTCTGCTGTGTTTCAGCAATCTCCTAGCTTTAGCATTAAAGTAATTCATATTTAGTGGAATAATACTGACAATGTCCAAAAATGAACCATTTTGTCCAACAGAACTGAAGATCCTCCCACAGCCCAGGAGTTATTGAGAATTCTTGACATAGACCAGTATTTTTCTTACAAGGAGATATATCCTGGGTCAAAAGTTACTCATTTTAAAAGGTAGGTTTGTGAATCAGTAATTTCATTTTCCATCAGGGTTTATGCACCAGTGTAAGGCACAATTTTGGTGAATATCACTTTAAGTGGTGGTCATGGAAGTTTTCAAAGTGATGTCTTTATTTTTGTAAGAGGAAAGAGTGTCACGAACATTAAAATAATCATAATTGTTTTTCATTTTTGTCTAGATTTACAGAGGCAAGTGGAATTGCATACTCCAATATGCTTTTCTTTGATGATGAAGAAAGGAATATTCATCAGATTAGCAGACTAGGTAAGCAATTATTTGGTACATGTGCTAGAAAAATATCTCCAAAGTATGGCCAAGGTAAGTGGTACAATCCTCTTTGAGACCAAGGCAGGCTTAGAGCAATTAATGTGAAAACCCTGATGGAAGCTTAGTAAATGTCACTGTTATGAGCTCATCAGGGTTTCCATAGCAACAAATGCCCTGCATTTTTGCTTTTTTTGCTAAATTGGATGTCAGTCCATCACTGGTTACCAGCAAAAATTTAGCCTGGAATGATTAACAAAGTAAGAACCAAACATTAACATTTTCCATTTTCTAGATATTTGAATTATTAAGATATATTAATGGTTATTATTATTCTTTCAGGTGTAACTTGTGTTTTGGTGAAAAGGGGAATGACTTATACTGTCTTACAAAGTGGACTTGCGCAATTTGCAGCTAATCACAAGTAGAAATTTATTGAGACAGCCTACAGAAATGCTTCCTTTGTGAAAGGAAGGAGGTGCCAATACCTCATCCTCGGAGACCCAGGGGCTGTGGGTCGATTCCAAGTTAGGGCATGAAGAGCCCCTGGGGACATTGTCTTGCAAGACTAGTTCCAAACGGTCGCAGTCGTTCTGCCATCTGATTGGTGCTAGAAAATCTTTGTGTTTTTCTGCCCAATCAGAGTGAAGTGTACTTTAGAGTCCTTTCGTGTGTTTTAACACGGAAATAGACTAATAACTCAGTTGCTCGATATGTTTAATTTGTTTGGGCCGTGTGACGGAGATTTGCTCGAGGTGAAAAGTTTCAGCACACTCAGTGGGAAGGAGAAATTTTTTCGGGCAGTTACCGAAGGGGTTTGGAAAGGATTTTATCTTTCAACTGTTGCCTTGAGTGTTGAAATTCTTGAGCTAGGAAGGCCACGGATTCTCTTCTAGTCCCTTNTTTCAACACTCAAGGCAACAGTTGAAAGATAAAATCCTTTCCAAACCCCTTCGGTAACTGCCCGAAAAAATTTCTCCTTCCCACTGAGTGTGCTGAAACTTTTCACCTCGAGCAAATCTCCGTCACACGGCCCAAACAAATTAAACATATCGAGCAACTGAGTTATTAGTCTATTTCCGTGTTAAAACACACGAAAGGACTCCAAAGTACACTTCACTCTGATTGGGCAGAAAAACACAAAGATTTTCTGGCACCAATCAGATGGCAGAACGACTGCGACCGTTTGGAACTAGTCTTGTAAGACAATGCCCCCAGGGGCTCTTCATGCCCTAACTTGAAATCGACCCACAGCCCCTGGTCTCCGAGGATGCCATTACCTTGGCTGAAAGGGAATGCAGATGTACTCATGAGCATGGTGATAGCTGAGGAATTAAAGAATCTTTATCATGACTGGGGAAATTTGGAAAAATCTTCATAAGTGGCAGAATGTGCACAACAAACTTGACACAATGTTTAAAGGTTAATTTCTGCAAGGGGGTTCCACAGGTTGACACAAGGTTAATTAATTTCTGCAGTGGGGTTCCACAGGTTGACATAAGGTTAATATCTGCAAGGGGATTGCACAAGTTTATTTCCTCATCTTTTTTCTTACTTCGTCACAAAGTTTTTTTGTCATTGCTTCGCAGTCTCTTGCTAGGTCATGTATTTGAAAGAGCACTCGTGTAAAAAACGTATTTAAAGGCTTTCTAACTTTCTGTTTCTCTTTTCTGAAGGTATTAACTATTTCTAAAGGCAACAACAATTATCTATCGGTTTTCCAAGGTTCTGAGCCAATCAAAACATTAGTTATTATGAGTGTAAATCTTGCGATTTGATCGGGTAAGAAAGGAAACACACCTTAGCCATATTTGTTCATTTTCCATCAAAAGCTAACCAAAAATGCAGCGTGTGTACAAGTTATTTTGGTTACATTTTTTGATTTAGTTTCAATTTTTTTCCTTGTTAAAAAAAAATTAAAACCAGTCTGAGTAATCTCCTTTGTTCGAATAACGAGAGTGAACTCAGGACAAAGGAAATTTTGGACAAACTGTTTGTAAAGATTTCAGACAAAGGAGAATTTGAACAACAGAATGCAAAAGAAACTCATGACACTCACGAAAATAAGTTCTGTATACTTCAAGCTATCTGTAGAACGTTGTTAGCTAAAGAAATCCCTTTTACCCTCTTCGCTTTCCTGTCATCTCCGGTTGCGTGACGAAACATAGTGTTCTGGAGTTCTACCTAGAAGAGTATTTTCTGCCGTCTGTGTCATACTTCAGTTTCCAATCGCCCCAAATTGTCACGCCATTTCGAGACAAATCAATTACTTCTTCTAGAATCCTATTGACAGCTTTAGCGACCACTTGCTTGTTATCATCAGTCCTGCATGACGGAAGTTCGAACCATGTGGCAAATCCATGGTGTAGACAGTACTTGTCCATTCCCGCCCTCCTTTTGACGATTTCTTCACTTCCTGGAAAGGGACCATCGTCGACATTATTATTTATCATGATCAAAACGATGGGAACCTTGTAGCCATTTCGTTCTGAGCTGGGATTTGCAGCTTGTATAAGCTCAAAATTTTGAAGGGCAGCGGAAAGTGTTGACGGCTTCTCTGCGTCAAAGAACAGAAGTGCGCCATCACAAGATTTGAACAAGTTGCGATTACCGCAGCGAAAGTGAAATCTGTCGATGGGCGAAAGCTCCCAGTACTGGATCTTCAGAGTGTAAAAATGTGAATTTGACGAATTTGTCCACACTTTCTCCTCCCGAAATAACCACGGGGTACAGAATGGGATTATTTTAGTAGACCTAAGATTCCTTTCTTTCCATTCTGGGTCGCCTGAGATTATTATTTTCAGATGAAGCTGATCTCCATTTTCTAGAATGTTTTTCTTGAACGATTTTAACTGTATTTCTTTTCCAAGTAAGCTGAGAACTGCTTTGTTCTCTTCTTCCGGCTTCCCGTACGACCCAACACAAGTGGCCATGCTTGAAAACAAGTTGACAGTTATGTTTTCCTTGTATTCAAGGACTCTAGTTGATATGCCTCTGGTTTCTATGTTGAATTGGCAGTCAGGTAGATAGATAGAAATTTCCTTTCAGTACCAGTTGAAAACGGAGCACATGCGTTGACCTCTTCAGTTTCGGAACCAGCAATGTAAGATTTCACACTTGTAAGCTTGTCAGGCACCTGTCACGCACAGACGGCGGCCGGAAAAAATTATGCAAATATATTTGGCGCCTTTTATTAATTTTTAAAGAAGCCAGGTACATCCTGAATTAACGTCACAATCCAAGAATTGTGGGAAGCGCTACAACTCAACTTCCGGCTTCTGCGCGCGTCACGAAAATGTGTGTGTTCACCTCTAACAAGTTTGTCATAGTAGTCACTGTACCTGCTTGTTATTCACAAGTAGTTTTCTGCCTTTAAAACACCGTCCTGAACTATGCCCCAGATCTAGAAAAGTCTTTTGGAAAGTTACACGGGAATGTTTTTGGACCCAAGATGTTGTCAATGCTTTTGACTGAACCCGCACTTGGTGCAGTTGCATGATACTTTGTTACGTTTGTCTATTTTATAGATTATGAGAGCTCCCTCTTTTGGTGAAATCCGTCGCGTGAGTTAAAAAAAAAAAAGAAAATGAGCTAACCAATAAAACTGATGTTAGCGCAACTGACTCCGATAGCTCCGCTCCGATCTTCCCATACTCATAGTTTACGTGTTTAGTGTTGGTGTGCAGTGGTGACGAAGAGAGGTATCTTTGAAGCCATTCGCAAAACAATTTTGTCGGCGAAATAATTTAAGGGTTTACCTCAGCACTAATTTATCAATGGCAGAACGAGTCATGTCACGTTGTGCAGTACTTCCTCAGTAGAGGACGACATTCTGTAAACCAAAACTTAACAGAATTGTATCTGAAAATGTTCTTAGAAATTGCAGTTGTAAAAATTCCGCGCGTTTGTGAATCCTAGTTTAGTTAGTGCAGTCCCTTTCAATCATATCCCTTCTGGTCTACTGGTCCACGTTTGATTCTAGAGTACATCTAACGTAACCTGCTTGCGGGGTGGGACGTGCGCGATAGCCTATGTGTTACCCCACCCTCTGAGGAGAAACGAAATGGGGGGGGGCATGGCTACACGAAGGCTTTGATTTGTGTCAGGTCTGCGTAGACGTTCCCTAACTTCCGTTTCTCCTCCGGGGGAGGGTACCGCTACATGTGCGTTACGCACGGGGGAGAATGAGATGGGTCGGGGATCAGTTTGCCGGGGGTCTGGCACTAACGATGATCGTCAGTGACCCTCAGCAGACTTCTCGCCGGTACTTGCCGCTCAGTCCTCATTTTTTCCCCGCGAGCGAAGAAACGCTGTTGCCTGACCGCGAGTAATGAAGGTAGAGCCTGCTCGCAAGCTAATTTCGTACCCAGATCCTACCGTGAAAGTATAACCACTTAGTCGTGAAAGGTCTGGATCTAAGACTACTCGCAAGCTTAAGTGGATCGTTCAAAACTAGGGATTTGCATCATGCGATACTAAAAAGAAGCGTCGACGCAAGTCCCCTCACCACCTAAATGTTTTCATGAGAAATCAACAACCAATTTTTTTGTTTTTTTGTTTTAACCTGTTTTAGTGGTTGCTGGAGAGGATTGAAACTAAGCAGGGAACACCTCTCTAATATAAATCTGTTTACTTACTATGTAACGAAATTAGATCAACTAAATTATATATCTCCGAAAGGACATCTGAATTCTACATGCTCATGAAAACTCAGACTGCCTGATGTCTGTCGAGGGCTGTTTACCTTAACAGCCAAATATTAGTTTATTTACTTCTCACACACAGATGTTTGTTTTTTATCGATGTTATCTAATATAAACAAAGGATATACTTTAAATACCAAGGAGCACTCCAAAATCTAAAAGAGTTTGACTAATGGTCGTGGGTACAAGTCGTGGGTCGTGGGTGTGGGTGTGGGTGTGGGTAAAAGTCGTGAGTGTGGATAATACATAACAATTAATGGTTAAGAGTTCATATTTAATAATGTTAATAGTACCACTACTAATAATCAATTAATGTTATATTTGTAGGGGAAAAGGGTTTTTTCGTGATCGTGAAGGGCCCTGTGGCTGGTTTTAAACGTGATTTGGTTATATCGCCGTGAACGTTGAAGCGCCTTTTCTTCATGGAAATTACGAAATGACTGGCTTTTCTCGCGAAACGTGACCTGAACTGTTGTTATTCTTCTTTTCTAAAATTTTATCCTGTAACCGTCTCAAAAGAAGACGTGACACATGACTGTCATTAGCTACCGTGAAGTAATGCAATACTTCTCGACGAACAATGAAACGTGTTTCTTGAGTACGTCACATTTCGCAACTCTGCAGAGTCTGGTCTTTATCAGATAAGAAATGAATCGTTTAAAAATTGAAATTATTAGAACCTCTTTATCTATTAATTTACCTATTTCAATAATTCTTCATATCTAGTTTATTTTATGATTTAGAAAAGGACCTGGCCAGTTAAATGGACGAAGAAAAATTTTAAGATTGTACTAATTGGTTCTTCGTTTAATTTCTTATCACCGATGCCAGTTGTCGTGACCAATTTAACATTGGCTTGCGATATCCGATTGTCGATTGTACCGCACGCTGGATACCAGAGGTTTTATATTTTCGTGCCTTGGAAAAACCTTGGAGCCAACGTCTCCAGACCTGCAACTAACGTTGCAACGTTGCTATCTATATATCGGCTTATCTTGCAACAGTTCGCTTTTTCACCTCATTTTTTTCTTAGATGCGGGGTAGATAGTACGCGATACGGAGGTGACAATTGATGAAGCATTCGGCTCTTTATCTGAATGTCATTGATCAACAGAAGCTTTATTTTCCCTAACCAGCAGAGGGATATACTTTTACTTCTGAAACTTCATTTATTTTTAACCGGCACTGAGAGCACAAATTAATTTTAATTCAAGAACACGGCCAATAGGATCAGAAACACGGCTATTGGCCGTGTTCTTGAATTAACATTATTAAATATGAGCTCTTAACCATTAATTGTTATGTATTATCCACACTCACGACTTTTTACCCACACCCACACCCACACCCACGACCCACGACTTGTACCCACGACTTGTACCCACGACCCACGACCATTAGTCAAACTCAATCTAAAACAGTTAAGTCTGTCAATATCTTAACATTTGATTTGAAAGAACTTGTAAAGACAAAAAAATTAAAGAGAACATCTTTGGAGCATCGAAGTCGGATAGAATTTTGCAAAATTATTTCAATAAATAATAGAAATCCTGTATATCTCTCCCTATTAATTTTTGTCTTATTCCTTAATTCAATTGCCGAATTAAAAAAAATCATTGCTTTCTGTGCACAATCAAAGATATGGAGTGTAATCTAGTAAATGTCACGAAACGATGCTTCAGTAACTCACGTCCCAAGTATGCTTTGCTTCAAAGTAAAATCCGTTTTCCCACAAAATGCATGAAGTAAACTTCACGCTAGATTTGAAGAGTTCTACTATATATCACAAATCGTATCTCGTGATTGTTAAGTTAATAACTATTAGCATAGTTTCGTTTTGTTTTTTCTTCAGGTATTTACAGAGTGAACTTCCAAATATGTTGGTAGTGAGGTAAACCACTTAGTATCTCGTGACTGTTCAAAGCCGCTTAAGGTAACAATGTTGTTATCAAACGCTTTGACCGGAAATTCTCATAAACATTTGGCATGCATTCAGTATCCACCGGAAGTTCAAACAATTGTCACGGCTTTCGGAGATTGCGTCGCTTGAAAATATTTTGAACCAGACAATCTACTGCTTTAGTCATCACGCCGGTATACCCGTCCCCCTCTCTCGACACAAGCTGAAACCAACCCACGAATCCATTCCTGGCGCAAAACTCGTCCAACAAAACTTTGTTTTCGATCAATTTCCCGGGGCCGATCCAATCAACAGGTTTACCCCGCTTGGACGTCGGAATGTTCTCTATAATAAGAACAAGAGGTATATTGGCATCTTTTGGGTTCGCCTCTTTGATTTTTTCGCTCCACTTTAAAACACTGCCAAGAGGAGAAGGGCTCTTTGGTCCCCAGAACACCAATGCACCGACACAGTTCCTACAAAACACGCTTGTCATCTTGAGAAAGCGTTCATGTTCGGCGACATCCCAAAATTGCAGTTTCACAGTGAAGTCTCTATTCGTTGCTTCGTCGATCCATGTAATGAAATTTAGGTAAAAATCGACCCCTATCGTAGGCTTGTGATAAAAGCTTAACGGCCGACGTTGAATATAATCGGACATAAAGCCTCCTTTCTTTCCAAAGCCCGTGTCGTCTCCAAGACACATTATCTTGAAAGTGAAATCCGTCTCTCTAGATTTCATTTCTTGAAAAATCTCTTCGTCTCTCCGCACAATCGCAGCATCGCTGGCCATTCCCGAGTCCGTTTCTGTAGCCATAAAACTTTCACCTCGTTGAAGCTCGGTATCCGACATATTATATACTTTCCCGTTCTTGAGTGAGATCTTTATCAAACATCGACCACGCAAATGTAGTGTACAACTTATATCGCAGTTGTAAAATGGGCTGAACCAAACGTCTTTCGATGACGGAAATCTGATACTACAGGAGTAGCGTGTCACGTCTCGAATTCATGCCCTTCACCACCTCCTTTAGATATCGTTCTGATATATCACCATAAAAGTCAGACACTGCCGACTTATTACAGATATTTGGTTTCCATGAATTACGTTTCAAAAATAATTTCGCGTGTTGCAAGGAAGAACCCCAGATGAATGTTCAAGAACTCGTATCAATGCAACTCTGCAATTCTACACGCAATAGTACTTGAAATTTTGTGAGGCTTTCAAAGCAGAAACCCTTGAATCGTAAACACTAAATATTTAATTTACGCAGAGGTGTTTATGGCATACGTCCAAGTGATGATGTTTTACAGCACGCTCTTGTTTCCAAGAAACCATCCACTCTTAAGCCTTCCGCTCGTTGTGTTTTAGAAAATCTGTCGACAATCGGACGAAAATCCGTTGAAATTACTCGACAACTCGGTGGAGAAGTGAATGTTTTAAAGTCTATCTATGAAATCTAATTCTATTTATTTTCATAGTGCAAATAATTTGTTTTTCATCCCAGATTGTTTAACTCATTTTTCCGATCTCCTGTTAAAATGTTTACACAAATTGTAAGTGAAAGATCGCTTCATCATCCCCAGCAGAAAATTTTAAAACGTGTCGCGGTCCCGTAGGTGTCGAAAGTTAATACAAATATCTTTTCCCGTACGGAATATAAAAAATTCCAACACTTTTGAAGAATTTGGGCGTTGTAGTACCGTCGGCATATCACGGAGGCATATTACTGTCTCGAAGACTAAATATTTTCCGGTTATGAAGTGATCATAAATTAGCATATTGCTTGACGGAGACAGATTACAACCCAAAATATCATTAAATTGTTGACGTGTTTTTGTCATGAAATTATTTATTATTCTATTTTAGAGTCATTCTGTTTTCCTTATTCGCTCTGACTTTGACTACTCCTTTTTTGAACTTTTCTTTGGTAAGAAAACTCTCCACATTCCACCAAGTTCCTCAATGTATTTAAAATTCTATTGGACATATGTACAATTATTGCCGAGAAAATAAAAAAAAAAACAAGGTAAGAAGACTTCCCGGCGTCGACAGCCGCGTAAATCAATTTGGTAAGGACAAAACATGATTTGGTGGCACCTCTATCAATTCAAGATTTTTTCCAGACCCTTTCCTTATTACCACCATGTTTATTTCGCCGTTCGTGCTCTTAAAAACTTCAGGCTGATAAAATTTCCATAAGAACTGCACTACTTTTCCCAGACTGATTTCTGCTTTCTTTATTCGACGACGGAAGTAAAAATCAACCGTTTTCTCACTCTTCGTGCTTTCAACATTGCTGATCCCAGAACTATGCAGGACGCTGGATGCTGGTCATATATGAATCTTCTAGTGGCTTGCATTTAGTTACCCACAGACTTCCTTGGAGCTCATTGGTTGGGTGGGCATCAAAGCTCTACAGCTGGAGGTCTCCCACGTGGGAGACTCAGACGCTATGTCTATCCCACGCTTTTGGCAACCATCACACTATAATTTCCTATATTGCACACAGCCCAAGAGAATATCAGTTCATATTCTTTTCACACAGCCTGCACGGAGCAAGCATAATTTTGGCGTGCTAGTGCTCGGTATTTTTTAGGTGAAAATCATAGCTACCATCGTTGACTGTTACAGCTGTGGAACGAAGGCCGGAGAGGAAGGAATTTTTATCAAGGGAAAGAGCGACGATAAAAAAAAAAAACACCACCACCAACCACACCAACAACAAACAAAAGGAGAAGGGAGTGGTGGGTCTTTCCCTGCCCCCTCCCCACACTGTCCGATCTAAATTTAAGTCAAAAATGACCCGACCTGTCCAAAAAACGATCAAGAGCTTGCAAGGTTAACTCGCCTCAATAAGATGTCCGCATTACAGCTACCTTTATCCTTGATACACTTTTTTTTTAATCTTTGTCTTTACTTCAGTGCCTTTTGTAAGATTTTATTAATCAACGTGCATATTCCTATTCTTTTTAACACTTCAAGGCTCAAATACACTATGAAAGATGGTAGGTTTGAGCTCGCTTTTGTTATAAGGGAATAGATATATTCGAACCATCAGAAGCGAAATGCAAAGATCTGGTTCTAAACAGGCGTTCACAAGGCAGAAAAAAATCTGATACAGACCCGCCAAGGAACGAGTACGGACTTCAAATTATGGCAGGTGTTAACTGTGTGTACTTTGTTACTTATCAGGGTGGGTAAGGACCCGTGTTTTGTAATGTGATGAGGCCATTGGCGTCCAAAACTTAAATAACTAAGGTCCGAACCACTTTCTTCAGTTTTGACGGATCTGTACCCGTTCTTTCTGCTTTGTAACCAGCCTTTGAGGTATGATTTTTCTTGGGAATTCCCACTTTTTTATTCCTCCTAAGCTCGTGACAAGACAAAATATATTTCTGGAGGTATCCTACCCGGCCCTAGTCTCCACAGTCATTTCTACAAAGGCGACTTGCAGAGAATGTTGGGAAAACATTGACATGTCCCTTGATGCAATGCGCTCCGATCGAATCCTTTTCAGGCATCAGACCTACCTACAACCTCTGACTGAAACCCTGACTGAAAAAATAATTTCTTGAGACTATTTTGTAAGGAAAAATGTTATAGATTCAGGAAAAAAAAAAGTCCATTCCCCTTTATTCTTATTCTGGGTGTGCGTTTAGTAGCGTTTATACGTCTAGTGGTTTAGCCGCGGGAGGCTTGGAACGGCTCTCCACTCCACTCCGCAATAGTCCATTTTACAGTTGTGGGCTTGGAGGCCAAGCTTTTGAACAGGAGTGAGGCTAAGGGTGACTTTGTTTGGTTCTGTCCTGGTGTACCGGTTCACAAGGGAATTACCATTGTTCTTTCTTTGTTTAGGAGTTATCGGTTAGCTATTGTGTATTGTTTGGTCTTTTGTATTGGCTCTTGTGAACCGGTACACGAGGACAGAACCCTTTGTTTTGATAGAGATGTTGCTGCAATTCAATAATGATCCTTGCAGAATATTTCAATACAATTTCTCACTTGAGATTAGACGTCATCCTATGTATTTTAAATACTGTCTTGGTTTCGATGCCACTGTTCTCTTTACAAACTCACAGTGATTTGTAAGTGAAAATGCCTTCTATTCCACTGCAATTACCTTATTCAATTACTTCTTACGTTACTATTTTAACTTTCAATTTTACATTTGGGTCAAATTTACCCTACAAAAGACGGCGATAGACCTCAGTAACGATGTGATTTATAATTTGGAGGAATCAATCCCGTGTTCTCCATTTCTTGATCGACTTAGAATGTTTCTCTGGACTAACACATGATTTTCTGATGTGTGATTTTTTTTTTCCACCAGAGGAACAGAGAACACACCGTAGGCTACCAGATAAAAAGTGAAAACTCGATTCTCCATTAGTGGCAATATATAAATTCTTACTTCTTTCTAATTTGTTTATGATTTTTTGTTCTGTCTTCATCTGTCTGTCTCATGACTTGTGCTGTCATCTGCGGGTTCGTTAGGTGAGGAATTTCCCGTTGCAGATTCTTGAGAAACGTCACCTTCGGCCGAAAGCTTCTCTGTTGACACTTGACCAAGAAAGTCAGTGGTTTTGAACACAGCTGGTGCTTTCCAGTCTGAGAAGTTTTTATCTTGCTTTGTAGGACCCTGAGTCATCTGAACACAAAAAGAAAACAAAAAGATTAACCTACTAAATTGCTGGATGGCTTTTTTATCTTTTTTTGAGGGGGAGGGGTAGGAGAGTGCTAGATGAACGCGAAAGGGAGGGGGGGGGGTTGACCAAAGAAGTTACTCGTCTTAAACAAAGCTGGTCCTCTTCAGTCTGAGAAATGATTACCTTTCTATGTAGGACCCAGGATCATCTGCTCACAAAGTGATACAACGAAAAGTTTAGCCTGTTGAATTGACAGATATTTTTTCTGAGGGTGAAGGGGTAGGGCACACGAGGAGAGCACGAAATGAACACAGAGGAGGGGGCTTGACTAAAGAAGTTGCTTGTCTTTATCAAAGCTGGTGCTCTCCAGTCCCAGAAATTATTACCTTTCTCTGTAGGACCCTGGATTATCTGCTCACAAAGTGTTAAAACAAAAAGCTTAGCCAGTTGAATTGGCCCCTTTTTTGTTTGTGAGTGTTTGTTTTTTTTTTAGGTAGGGGTGGTGTGAGGGGGGTGAGTGGGAGGTGAACTTAAAGATGAAACAAGTGTGAGAAGACTAGCTCCTCCTCTGGAGGTGGGGAGGGGGGTGAAAACTGCTACTCTTAACCTGCAATCAGGCCTCCTTGTTTTTGGGAATTGCAAAAAGAATACTTAATTGCATGACATTCTTTGCCAACTGTCGCGAGGTTAGTGTGAAATAATCTTGAAGGGTGAGTCACCACATATTTCACATGTCCTGTCAAAGAATACGCTTGGCCACAAACACACCTGTCTGAGTCCTGGTATGGATTTTAGAACTTTTTGAATTTTATGACTTCCAAGTTCTCTTTCTGCTGTTGACACACTCTCTTCCATTTCATCCACATTTTTCTTGACTGCATTTACAAAAGCCTTGATAAGATACAACAATCAAGTCTTAGCACAGACTGAATGCACAAAGGTCCCAGGTTCATTCCCCTCACAAGCTAAGTGACCCATTTGGCCAGATGTTATCTTGATTTTGACAGCATAAAGTGACTAGGAGTATTACTGCCCCCCCCTGCATGGGATGCCAGTCCATCAAAGGTTACCCAGGAGTATTACCACCCCCCCCAGATGGAATGCTAGTCCATTGGAAGGTACCCAGGAGTTCCCCCCCATATCAATTAGGGGATTAATAGTTGCTCCAATACCAAATTCTCAAAACTATCACCAAATGAATCATTTGGCAGACAGCAAGGAGAATTCCTTTTTTTTTTTAACAACTTTATTGGGCATATCAGATAAATGTTTAAACAAGGCAAAAGTATAATAATACAATAACAAATAGAAAACAGAAAAGAAACTGAGATAAAACTGCACCGAAAAGGGAAGGCGCGAACGGGACGTAAAGTCCCATGCGAGGTGCTGCCCATTTTGAATTAAAACACACTATAAAATAGAAAATTACAAAAATACAGAACAAATAACTTCAACTTAGTGGCATAAGCACGTACTGGCTAGTGTCCATGGGCAGGGCCTATCGATGTCATACGTAGTGTTTAGACGGTCTAGCATTACATTGCGGACAGATTCCTGGTATGAACCTGGGTTGTCAAAGCTAGTGGATGGTAAGACGGAGCAAGTAAGGCTCCAGAGTTTAACAATGCGATTAAAGTATGAGGCCTGAAAAATTCTGGTTCTACAAATAGGTGTTTTTAGGTTGAAAGAATTACAAAGTCTGGTATGGCCATGGGAGATAAAATCAACAAAACAGTGTACATTTATCTTCAAACTTTAAACTTCAATGTCACAAACTTCAACTTCACGAACAAAATGGCTCCTTTAGGAGCCACCACATAAATTAAAGTCAATGACCAACAATGATTTACATGCACCTACCTTTCGTGATCTCGGAAATTTGTGTTTGTTGATAATCGCTCGGCTTATAGTCGAATAAACATTGAATTTCGAATCTTGTTAAGCACCCGTAAATATTGTTTGGCGAAAATGCTCGGCTATAAGCCGAACCCCCTACCTTGGTGAGAATTTACCTGTTCTCAGTTTAATTTGTTGGAAAAATCCCTCAGCTTATAGGCGAATAAATATGGTAAGTCAATATAGTTGTATAGACATTTGTAAAAAAATAACAAGTCTACTAAAGAGATCTTGGCAGTGAGAGGGTTAAAATTTCTACATGTGTGATATAAGTTGTCTGTACCTCTAGTTGGTCAATCTTTCTGAAGATTGTTGGAAGTTCCTGAGATCTTTCATGTAGTTGTGGTATAATTTCTATCAAGGATTGCGAGGAATCATTGCGTATCTATATGTAAAGAAAAATGAATACAAGGAGATTTTCTCTAAGTTTTCTTATAATTATCAAATCACTAGTAGCACATAGCCAATAAACAGTTCACGTAAAGTAACAATATTACAAGTAGCCTGCAGTGCAGGTGGATTTTGGTGGGGCGAGTGGATATTCCCATCGCTTGTTCAGGCTATCTCGAATTAGAAAAACAGTGGAGAGTTGGGGCGAGGTAAAAAGTTTACCAAGCTAGTGGGAAGGAGAGAGAAAAATTGGGGAAGGGGGAGGGGGAGGGGTTTTTCTTCCCCATCCCCCCACTGACTCCGACATTCTCACATTCTCGCCCCAATTCTTCCAGTCTGCAGCAAATCCAACATGGCGGCTAAACACTTGAAAGATGAAAACCATCAAAACTGCCTGCACTGCAGGCTATTTTACAAGGGAAGAGTCACCAAATATTTGTGTAATAAAAAAAATAAAAAAATTACAGCATGATGTAAGAGATATGGGATGTTAGAACATGATCCATTACATATAAGTCGTAAAATAGAAAAATCTATAATTTGAATTACACAAAACTACTGACAAAAACATGCCTACATCTGTTACTATGAAATAGGAAAAGTTTGTGTCTGCATGGCCTCTGGTGTCTATGTTGAATTTAAGTACCCTTGGGTTCTAGTGTAACCCTCAATCTAGTTACTTTCCACATGCGTTTCTACATTATTAACTATTAGGCAACCATTTACAGTTCAGGGCTTCATGTTTGCCAATTACAACCTTTCTTCCCAGCAGAGGAAAGGTTCCAAAAATTGCACGATCTCAGATAAGCTCGTGCGTGTGCGTTGTATTAAAGGGTGTCAGCAGGACAGTTCTCACATATCGATCATTGAACAGTCAAGTAACCCCCGATAAGGACGTCACTGAGCGAAAGTTATGTTTAAGATTTATTATTGCTGAAAAGTACCAACCATGTGGGATGAAAAATGTCTTTTGAGATAAAAAATTCAGAGGACGAGGTTATGAACCGTTACAACCGTTGTAGACGTAATACCTTACAAGATCAGACTTTCCTCCGAAAGTGCAATCAAGAAAAGAAGAAATATAGTTTCAGAAAAATGAAAACACGTTCTACACTAGATACACGTTCTACACTGTTGTTCCCTACAGTCATGCGCCTAAGAAGAAACAATAAGTTGTGAATAAATTACACAGACAAATGAACACCCCCCAAAACGAAAGCTTGATAAAAAAAAACTTTTTTCAGACCACTTACCGAGTCAGCTAGGTGAGAAAACTCATCCAAACGAACAAGCATATCCTCAATGGTATCTTCCATAACTTTAGACTAAAAATAGATCCAAATAAATGTGGTAAGATCTAAATTCTCTCTTGTCACACAATCTTAATGCGCCAAGGAAACTATCTCTTTCAAATATTTTGCAAATTGAGGTATCAGTGGGTAAGATACCTCATTCTTTACATCAACTTGACAATATTCCGCAAATTCTGCAGCACATTTCTCCAAATCAAGCTCTACTTCATCCTCTTTTGTCTCGGTTTCTGAAAAAGCTTGTCCTTCACTATCCGCCATCTTGAATCGAAAGGTCGGATTCCGAGCCGATTATATTTTGACCAGCGGCAATCTAAAGGTGGGAAACGTTGAAAGACGTTTTCTAGTAGAGGTCTCTGGAGAAGTGTTTGAGTTTGAATCTGCGTACATCGCGAACATCTCGACCGCTAAAATGGTATGTATAACTCTTAAAGTCTCCTTCATTATTATCTATCATCTTGGTTTCATTATTTTTAAATTTTCTTTTGCAGACGGTGGGAAAGAGTTCGAAGATGCTTCAGCATATTAACTACCGAATGCGGTGCACATTGCAAGATGGCCGCAGTTTTATTGGGACATTTTTAGCTTTTGACAAGCATATGAACATTATCTTGGGAGATTGTGATGAATTTAGGAAAATTAAGCCCAAGAGTAGCAAAGCACCGGAACGCGAGGAAAAAAGAGTTCTTGGTTTGGTTTTGTTGCGAGGAGAGCACCTTGTTTCATTGACAGTCGAAGGACCTCCAGTGTCAGACGTAAGTTGGGTTCATTGATTTACCTCAGCTTTATAAGTAAAAATGAATAGTAAAGAAATTTTTTTATCTTAAAGAGTTCATATTAGGACACAACACTGTCTGTCTGTCTGTTCATTTATTTCAATTCGAGATGTACAGTGAGCCAGCGACTCGTACTAAATACATTCGAATATTATTAACCCACCCAATGATATAACTGGTATTAACTAACATTTTGGTGAATAAATCAATTTTATAATTAATATGATTCAAAGAATTCATTGCTCGAATAACCCAGTCTGCAAAGTATGGCAAAACTTGACGAGATCTTGTGCGTGTAAAGGAGATTTTTCGTGGTGAAATTTATGGTGTAAATGGGAAAAATCATGTATACATCTGCCACACTATGTAGACGAGAGAATTGGGTTATGACTAGGTGAATTGCACCTCTTGGCTTTAACTCCCAGAAGTGATCAACATGTAACTTCTCCCTGTAGTATCCACACATTATCCAGCAAACTGGTAATGAGAATACTCAAACTTATTGTGTGGAAGTTGTTATCTTGAGAAATGGTTAGGAGTTGTGTACGAGAGTTTTACCAAGCCCACCCCTCACAGTTTTGTGATGTTAAGCAGTACTAACAAATTTGGGCTAGGACTACCAAATAAGGTGGTGAGAGCATGTGTGTGTGGAAAAAAGAACAAGTAGGTTGTGAGAGCGTGAGTTTATGGAAAGTTTTTCCACTGAATTTAGTGAGAGTTTGGTGAATTAGATTGAAGAGGAATAAACTAGGAAATTGTTATTGTGAGTTCTATGGGCTGTTCAGTTGTTCGGCTCAGTTGGTTTAGGTGGGTGAACCTAGTAGGGGACTACGTGTCCCATTGTTCTCTCACCTGTACACTGTACAAATCTATAAAAACTCCAAAAAAAAAACTCAAAACTCAAAACTGAATATCAAATTTTAGTAACCAATTTACAAAATGTGTAGCAGGTACAAGGGAGAATTAGCAATCAGACCATGGGAGTTTTAGGGTTAAACCAGATTCATTTACAATCACTTGTCTACTTATAAAACGAACCTGCAATGTTAGATGTTTCTGGTAGGTATTTTGAAATAGCGAGAGGGTAAATTTTGAATTCACACATTGAATTAATTAAGAGAGTTAAAAATGAGCACCACATTTATTGATCAACCATTGTACTCAAGACGACCATTTTTTTTTTTTTTTTGCTGACTTTCCAACTCAAGAACTGAAGAGTAAGCTAGTCAGTTGTGATTCATCAGTTCGAATCTGTTTATAAAGTTAGCTTCTGTTTTCCACATTTGGTAGTTTTGTAATGAGACCGGGAAGGCTCTTTTTTACATACTGCCAGTGGGCTTTTGATAAGAGTGCGGAAAAGTCAGAAGTAAATTAATCGCATTGGCCTGGCAGAGCAGAGCAGAGAACCATAAGAGACATGGGAACTCAAATTGAAGACAAGCAAACTGCTCAAAGCAGGAGAAAATATGGGTGACGAAGGTTCTTCAGTTATTTTATTTACTTTATTTAAGTGTTCCCAGTTAGAAGAGGGTTTTACCATTGGCGAGATACCATAATTTACTCTTAAATAAAGTGATTGATTGTTTGATTGATTGAATGATCGGAAAGCACCCTCACAAAGAATAATCTTGCTGCATCGAGAATACTCCCAAGTAGCATTTGTTGCAAAGGGCAAAAAGCGTGCAAAAGGCCCAAAACCTGGAGAATCCGACCACTCTTTTACTCTAACAAAAATTCACAACTGTAACTTTAAAAAAAAGGGCTCTGAGTTGTACTGAAAACCAAAAAAGTCAAGATATACAAAATGTGCTTGGTTACTAAGCTTTCTGGTGATTAACTCAAAAATGGAGCGTATAACACAAAAAGTGGAAGAATAAGGTTGTCTATAAGGGATTCTAAATGGAAGAAAGTCAGCGAGTGCAGCAATTGCATTTGGAATAAGATGCCATGCATTTTATACAATTGCATAGAGTGGTGCCGAATTTCAAAACCCTAAGACAATACGAGTTAAAGTTAAGTGTTTCTTATTTATATTTAAGCTTACATTTCAGTTAACTTAAGAGATCAATTGAACCCTTCACCTTTCACACAATCTGCATATTTTACTTAAAGTTCAGTTGTAGAACTGATGTGGCGATTGCCAAAGTGTAATATTTAATTATAAGTGATTTTGCCAGATGTAAAGTAAAACGGACAATTGCGGTTGTCTTGCATAACCATTCCACGTACTCAATGCGGAGCTGCTTCTGCAGTAAAGAGTAGTAAAATTATTAACTTGTAATTTAGTTATTTTTTTAAAAAAAATAACTAAGTTAGTGTATAGATTGGTGTATTGTGTTGTAGTGTAAACTGATCAGCGCAATTTGGTGTATCTTTAAGCAATCTGATAGGCACATCTTTTTTTTGGTGTATCTCAATGCAATGTGATTGGCCCAATTTTTTGGTGCATCACAAACCAATCAGATTGTAGTATTTTTTGATGTCGCACCAATCAGAGCGTTCTTGCTAATTTGTGGTTTGACAGGTCTTCAAATTTCAGGTCTTCAAATTTCAGTGAATCAACATGCAAGTCGGAGAGAGCAGTTCGCGAATTAAGGAATTGTGTCAGTCGTGTTGTGAAAGCGGTGGAGTTGTGATCGTTGTACGACTATGCTTATTCTTCTGAAGGAGACTGAGTGGAACATGAAAAAAATTTTGAATCAAATAGTACTTCAGATATTGATAGGAGCAACTTCAGGATATTTTATTGCTATATATGAGTTAATCGGCGATTCCAATTTTGAATTTCGCTCAAGGAACCAGGTAAGATGACATCTACAAGAGTTGTAAGATCATCTATTCAATGTAATGGCTCATGTCCTTTGTGAGGATTTTATTGCTATGATCTGTCTGGATTTGAAAGGTCGTCAGGGAACTTTTTCTACCGATTAGCAAGTTAACTTGCATGTTTTGTGTACCGCTCCTTCACTTGCGACGCACACACCGTCAGCCAAAGGCCAACACTAATTTAACATTATAGCGTGTTGTTTTGGAAGGGCTAGTATTGCTGACTCTGGTAAAACTTGTGCGAGACATTTGCATAAATCACATTTGATTGATTATCTTTTTTTTTTGCCATATGGTTGCTCTTTTGGCAGTGGTTCCAACGACCACCAAGTTACATTTACTTTCTGCCTCCACTGCTTAGTTACATATCCGTTTCTTTGCTTCTAAAAGTTCTCCAAGAATTATATATTGTTTAAACGATATTTTCCTGTTACAATTGCGTGTTTACTTTTTACTCACCAGTATGGATTAGACTTTCTTAGATGAAATGCCATTTTCCAGTAAACAATGTAAATTTTATGACAAAAATCTACCTCAATCAAAAATATTTCACAAGGGACAAAATGGTACGGTCGGTTAATTTTCCACGCAACTCTCATGTGCTTAGACGTTTTCTACCAATAAAATTCGCTTTTAGCTAACCTGGACTTTACCCCATTGCGTGTCAATTTCCTGTAAACAACCTGCATTTTATCATCACGTATTTCGCACGCACAGGGAAAGTCCAGATAGGCAACAACCAATCAAGTAGCCCACCTTATTATCCTTTGAAGAGTAATACTTTCTCTCGGTACAATCTACTTTCACTTGTTTAAAGAATGGAGACCAGAAAGTATCTTTGTCCAGAGGCTGTAAGAGATCAAGTAGAGCTTTCCACTGCAAAATTACATGGAAGATTATTTTGAGGCAACCATCTGTTACTGAACAAGAGGCTACACGGAGCCTATATTTGGGCCGGATTTGTGGATCAGCGGATTGAATTGAATTGGTTCGAATTGAGGGCTTTGCTGTTTCAGCAAAATCGCTGTGGAGTGCTTTTTATGGTTTGTTAAGATAGAGAGTTTTGGAGACTAAGATTTCAGAGCAAGTCGATGCCATCCATGACAATTTGGGAAAACTAAAATCGCCAGAGGAAATGTGGGATCACTCATTAAAAATTTGCATTTGAATGCGATGATTTTGCTTACAAGGAATTCTCTTGCTTACATCTAATAACAAGCCTTTGAAGTTTTTTTTGCCTCAGAACAATATATCACAGAAGGCATTTTATAGGCCTCAAGTTTTTTGACTGATTGAATTTAAAGGTATGTGGCAGTGACTTCCACAAGTTTTTTTAAAAGAAAAGAAAAGTATAATTTTTTTGTCCGCAATATTAATTTACGAATTGATTCAATCGCCAATGTTTACGTAAGATGATCATATTAATTAATCGAATTTAAACAATCAGCCAAAACTTTAACTGTTCCCAAGGGTTGTTGTTGTCATCAGTATGTTAACAATAGAAGTGATTCATGGTATTAGGTTTGTACTTTAAATAAATATATTTAAGTGCACTCGAAAGATGAGTATAAACTGTAACAAGGTTATTGTTGATGGGTGCCCAGTGCTTCAAATCTGACTGACAATTGATACCAAAACTCAACCTCGTTCCCAGGCTATGTCCACCACATTGCTTTACGCAGATTAAAAAGTGCGCACTATTGTGCATTTTCTTGCACAGGAAAAACCAAATGGAATTTCTGATTCTGGCCCTTAATGGTCAGAATAATAACTAGGACTTTGTCTGTGATGAAGTAAAGGCAATAAGCACAATTTTAACCTACGAGCAGGTCGTTGTTTGGTCTCGTCATGCAACTTGGAGAGAGAGAGAGAGAGAGAGAGAGAGAGATAGACGTAAAGGCACTTTTGTAACCTCACTGTGGCACTTGTGTAACCTATAGTGGCACTCGTGTAACTTTAATGGCACTTATGTAACTTATGGCACTACTGTAACTTGGGACTCGTGTAACTTTTGTGGCACTCATGTAACTTTTGTGGCACTCTTGCAACTTTTGTGGCACTCTTGCAACTTCTGTGGCACTCATTTAACTTTTTGGCGCTTGTGTAACTTTTTGGCATTTGTGTAACTTTGTGGCACTCATTTAACTTTGTGGCACTTGTGTAACTTTGTGGCACTCGTGTAACTTGTGGCACTCATGTAACTTGTGGCACTCATGTAACTTGTGACACTCATGTAACTTTTGTGGCACTTGTGTAACTTTTGTGGCACTTCAGTAACGCCATCATCTGAATAGTGTGTTTTCAGTGAAATAACGAATGAAGCACTTTTCTAAATATAAATATATAATTCAGAGGAAAGGAGCTGCATTGTTCCCGCCTTACTTTAATAACTGAGTTATTATCTTTGAGGGGTAAATTCCAGTGAAGCAATGCCAAATTTCACATAGTCGATCAATCAGCGTTAATATAGTTTTGTTCGGTTACTGTTTTTCTAGCATTCAAGATGCTGTCTAGCATTAACTTAACTAAGCTCACGTTAATGTTAACTTAACGACCAAGCTAAGTTGAAGAATGTCTTCCTCTGTATGACCGTTGTCCTTTAAAATGGAGTATTTTGGTCTCCAAGCAAGGCTTAAAATTCTGCAATGTGCAGAGTCAGCAGCCATGCGAAGAGGTGATACTAATCAGCCAAACGGGTAAATGAATCAATGTACTCCA